GTACGTTTGTTTGTTTGTTTGTATTATTTCTTATTAAAATAAAGAAATGACAAAATTGATCTAGTAATTGATGAAAAAAATATCATACCAGTAATTTTTTTTTTGAGTTTTTGAAAGCTCTTATACGTAAGCCAAGAAAAAAAATATTAAAATTCTGTATATTGTTAATTGGTTTGTATATGGTAATTTTATGTATTATGTTTTTTTTTTAAAAAAAAATATAAAGGGTGTTTCGCTGTTTAGAAATGGCTTTTCTATATATATTTCCTTTCTAACACATCTCATGTAATTAATAATCGACAAACAATATGGAAAGAAGTTGGCCTCACTCACGATTTCTTGCACACATGTGATGAGATTGCTAATATGCAACCGTCCAATCAAATAATCAATATAGTATTATAGTTGGAAGGAAATATGGCTCTGAACAAATTTGTACTATCTTTTTATTTTTGGTAATGAAATTAGTTCTAGATGACAAGACTATTATCGATTTATCGTAATTAGGGATATAAAAAACAAAAACCTTAGCAGCAAGTTTTCTTTGATGTATAGACTTTACGGCCAAACTGAAAAAAAAGAAAACACCAGAAAAAGGATGAACATTTTTGTAGTGGGGCTTCGATCCAGTTCAAAGGATTATATAAAATTATACTCTATTTCCACGAGTAACTTCGGATGGTTAAAGCATGATTGTTAACAGATTAGGGGAAATTAAAGTATAGTAAATACTTTTTTTTTTGGTCAAAGAAAGTAAATACGTATATTGTTCCTTTGCGAAGATACGTAAGATTAATCATCTACACGTATTAAGTTTAAATAATATAGCTTCAAAGCAAATTTGCTTACAGAAAAAAAAAAAAATTGCTTACAGAGATCGGTTCCCAATGTACGAAAAATAACCTTGATTAACCTTGAGTATTAAAAGTAAATTAATACAATTGAATTCGGACATATTTTCAATCTAATTTTTTACTATTAAATAAACAGAAAAATGCTGTAATATTTTATATAAGGAGCATTGAAAAATGGGAGTAGGGGGAAGCTGGGACTAATGAGGATAAATTGAGTGCTACTGTATCATGCGCACACAAGTTTATACCCAAAAATAATTAACCAAAGAGGCCCACTCCCTCTCTCACACCATATGTTAATTCATCACTATATCATGTTGTGCTCCCAATAACCTTTCTCATTATCCCATTTTTAATAAATTTTTATGATATCTATTTCTTTTCATATCTAAGGGAGTTTATAGATATCGCGACCACATATCTTATTTCTCCTCACTCGGAAACCTTGGGCAGAGTTTAATTGGATCATTTTTTGGATAAATCTCCTCTGCAACGCTTGAACAAGACTTTTGAAATTCTCCAAAAAATATCTTTACTCAGACACTGATACATGCATAAAGCTTCAACATACCAAAGATATATATAACGCTTCGATTGACCGAAATTGTTTCACTTAAGCACATCAAATCATGGTCGATTGAAGATATTAATAAGTTTCTTGCATAATTATATTAATCTTCAAAAGAAGCGCATGTGTAGAAAAGAGACGGTGAGCGTATAAGATTAAGATGTGCCTCGAGCCCAAAAACCAAATCTAGAATCAATCTCGATAGCCGATAGTGTTATTAATTAATTGGTAATTTATCTGCATAGTTTTCTTATGAGGTTGTTTGGTACATATGAGGCAATTTATTATTCGATACAAATCATTCCCCGTGCCTCTTATGCTATGTATTACTTTAGTAATTTGAAATTTGATTATATGGATAAAATAAATAATGATAAGAAGAAGATGAAGTAGAAGAGGAAAGAATCTGATGGACCCTTAAGGTTTCTCCACGCAAGAATCATTCCACTGAAAGGGCTAATACATGCATGCATTATACTTTCAACGCCTGGACCAACACTTGCTTCGTTATTTTAATCCGTTTAAATGATTTAGACTTATTTTATATTTTGTTTGCTAATGGAACTTTCTAGGACCAAAATTCTATATCCACAACTATAGACTTTTATTTTGTAGTGATTAAATGTGTGTTTCGTATAGAAATTGATTTGATCTGAATCAGTAAAAGAAATTAAACCAAATAACGACAGTCATTATATATTGTTGCCATATATTTGAAAATGCAGCTATGACGATAATAACATGCCTGATGCCTCAACAGAAACGAACGCTCGTTATCATCCAAAGCAGTAGACTCTACAAAAGACAAGTACATCGGTATCTCTGGTACATAATTTTAATTTTATAAAGTTGCCACAATAATGAGACGTGCTGGCGTAAGTATGCGTCATCTCTTTGTCATATTGTGCAAATCCAACAAGACATTATTATATGTGACACTTTTGTAATGGAGAGACTTTCAAGAGATTTGGTTCAGTTCCTTTTTATTTATTTAATAAGATAGTTTTTGTTTTTTGGGCTAAAAAAGTTAATAAGATAGCTGATGATGAGAGAAGGGTGAAGCATGGAGGCCATCATGTTCCCTCTTCGCCGAACCCTCTGTCCACTTCAAAAGGTATCCGATTCTCTCTTTCTTTTATGTAAAGTTTAGTACGTTATATTTATTCCCGCCCCCCCCCACACTGACTTATTGAAATCTTTGTAATTAAATATGTTGATCTTGAGTTTTCGTGCAAACAAAATGTATATGTTGTGCCAAAAAGAAAATCTACTTCGAATTTCGCAGTGAGGAGTGCTTCTAACGGGAGGATTTCCAGTATCTTGGAACTCTTAATTACACTATTTGATGCATTGACAAACAATAAGATGTTTTCTTTTTAATTTGTTAAAAAGAATATGGGTTCGTCGCTGCATATAATCTAGATTATAAATCTATGCATGCATCCCTCATAATTACGTATTTTTTCTTCTGCAACGTTGTGGAATATGCTTTGGCTTGTGGGCTCATTCATATTTGCTTACAAACCTGTCTTCTACTCCTTTATATGTTTAGTGACTTTAGTCTAACGAACACACACAAATATATATATATATATATATATATATTATATTTATCTATTGGTTGATGATTAATTATCCTTATAGCAATGACAATCACAATGTCGTGTAATATCGACACATCACACAGTTTTTTTTTATTTTTCTTTTTGTAACCATGACTCACACACAGTTTGATAGGAACAATATAAAATCTCTAAATAAACTTTTATTTTATGAGATTTTATTTTCTCTATAAAGGTTTCGTTTTTACTGAACATTTATCAAAAAAAAAAGAGACAAATTTTGTCACTGAAAAACACATTTTAATTTTTTCAAAAAATCAGACTAATAATTCCATATGATATATATATATATTATATATATATATACATTCTCAAATCTCTGAAGAATGAAGACTGGGATATTATATTTTCTTTGCATATATCCAAATTTTTTTTTTTTTTTGAGATATATATGATGATGATGTTCTGGGGAATATGGAGAGTCTGATAAGGAAGGGACACATTGATAATTTGATATGACAGTGTCTCCAAATCAAAGCCCTATCACCTATGCAATTAAAACTTATGTTTGGGTTTTAGGGTTTCACTTCTGAATTCTCTCTCTCTCTCTCTCTCTGAGGTAGTCAATTCACAAGCACAGTGTATTTTTTTTTGTTGTTCTTGAGGAATAAATTGTTTAGGTTTGTGTTGATCCTAGAGGGGGAAAAATAAAAAGCTTGCTTGCCACACCCACATGTACTGTATACTATTTGTACTGATACATATCGTATGACCCAAATCATTGTATCTACAGCACGAAAATTTAGATGTATATTCGTCAATATCAACTTTGAAATTGCAAAACACTTTATATTCTCTTTAACTGAAAAACCCTATTGAAACATTAAGAAAAACCTTTAAATTTTGTTTACGGGACCTTTAATTTGTTAAATATTGATATATTGGTTAGGAACACCGCTAGACTGTGATTGGAGCCTCAAAAGGTAGTGGAATAAAATGATTCTAAACAAAAAAATAGTTCATTAAACTTAAATGAAGAGATTGGAGAATGAAGAATGATATAATTTTATAACTTATGTACATATAAAAACAGAAATAGCGATTTGGGTGATTGATAACACACATAATGGCCGATCAAACATCACTGTTCTTTGACTTCAATTCAATACTCGCTGCTGGCTCACATCATGTCGCGACAAGGAAATGGTCTAATATTTTCTAAATGACACATAGTAGAGCCTTGTTGGGCCTTACTGGGATTGGTCAAGATATATAGTCCACTCGACCACTAAGATCGACCCAATGAGTTAAAAGTTAAAACCGTATTAATTAAATTCCATAGTGTGTCAGTGTAACTCTACAAGTGTAAACATCTATTTTAGCTTTACTTTAATGTGCATTGAAGTCTCATTTTTCTTTTTGATTCAAATATGTAGAATTACTTGCACAGAGAGAAGGATTAGTTAAATTCATTTTTCTCTTTCAATTATATTCTCTTACTATCCCTCTAGAAACTCAAACCCTAGATGAACAAAATCAAAGAATGGAACCTTAATTCGAAGAAATTCACAAAATTTTACCAACACATGAGGAATCTACCCAACCGAAAGTTATATATATTTTTGAGCCACCACCAACCATGAAGAAGATCTAATAGCTGCTGAAGAAAACTTTGAAGATAAATGAGAAACATATCATAAGGACTAATTAGACTACCACGCAGAAACTTTTGTTTAAAGATGTTTTTCTTTTCGTGTGTGTGTGGAATTTTCATAGAAATACTGTCAATTCATACATAGCTGTAATAGATAATTCATGACTATTAAATAATAACAGAAAATTTTCTCCTAATTCGAGTTGTCCTAAATCATATAACCGAATGACATAAATTATAATACTTGCAAATTAGAGCACTAACATTCCACAATTGATTAAGACAAGATTAGAGAAGTGAAATTGTTTCCCATATAGGCTTGCTGGTAAACTTATATAAAGTTGGGAAATTTAGTGGCATTTATCCTCTTATTTTTGTTTGGTCAAATTTGTCACATCGTAAATTAGAAAATGTGCATGATTTGACGATCGGCTTGAAGCGAGGCGAGGAGGAAGAGAAGAAGAAGTAGCAAAGTGTTGCCCTTGAATGAGTTTCCGATCCACGATTCCGTCGGTGAGCTCAGAATCCGAAGAAGGAAAACGCGGAATCGAATCTGATCTCATCTCATGTCGTTCTCCTTCTTCAAGCCATCGAGGCCTAAAACGCCTCAAGAGGTCGTTAAGGCGATCAGAGACAGTCTCACGGCTCTCGACACCAAAACCGTTGTTGAAGTTAAAGCCCTCGAGAAGGTTCTCTCTCTTAAACGCCTTTTCTCTTTTACAATTCTGTATCCAAAGTTTGTACCTTTACGCCTTACTGTTGAATCTGGGATATGGGTTTTACTGATTTGGTTTGATTCACTCTTTTCCTATCTTTTCAATTGTGGATGTTGAGGCCGGTTTGATTATTAGAAAATGCAGAATGTTCTCTCTGAGAAAGTGTATTATGGTGTTTTTTTTTTTTCTTAAAATGGGAATCTTCTCTTCTTAGGCTCTGGAAGAAGTTGAGAAGAATTTTTCTTCTCTGAGAGGAATGCTTTCTGGAGATGGTGAGGCTGAACCAAATGCTGATCAAGCTGTACAGTTAGCATTAGAGTTTTGCAAAGAAGATGTTATCTCTCTTGTTATTCATAAGCTACACATTTTGGGATGGGAAGTAAGTGAGAGATTGCATTTTGCTTCCTTTGTGTGTTTGTGTTTATAGAAGTCCCTTATAAACCCTTTTCAGCTATGTTGCAGGCAAGAAAAGATTTACTGCATTGCTGGTCTATCTTGTTGAAGCAAAAAGTCGGCGAGACTTATTGCTGTGTGCAATACTTTGAAGACCATTTCGAGTTGCTCGACTCTTTGGTTGTATGGTAAATACTGTAAAGATTTGACTTTTTCTTTTTCTTATCTGGGTGAAATTTTCCGTAGCTCTTGATTCAATACTGAGAATTCCCCGTTTATGAGCAGCTATGACAACAAGGAAATTGCTTTGCATTGTGGAAGTATGCTTAGGGAATGCATTAAATTCCCAAGTCTTGCTAAGTAAGACGAATACAAATTATTGATTTTCCTTTTCAAGGTTTTTGATGTGATTCCAAAGTTCTTTTAGTCAAATCACTGACACGCAATGGTCGAGGATATATATATATATTTTTCTTCACACGGTTAAGTTTTTGTAGTGCCTTTTCAGGTATATTCTAGAGTCTGCCTGCTTTGAGTTATTCTTCAAGTTTGTGGAGTTGCCAAATTTTGATGTTGCTTCTGATGCGTTTTCAACTTTCAAGGTGATTTTTCACTTTATCGACTTGGAATCGTCTTGGATTTTGCGTATTTACTCAACACTTTCTTACCTCTCTTGCAGGATCTTCTCACAAAACATGACTCTGTCGTCTCCGAGTTTCTCACCTCTCATTACAGCGAGGTTTGCTTCAGCAACTTCTTTAAAGCTTAGATGAAAACATAAGAAGCATTTCTCTTTATAAATCCTATAATAAGATGAAAGATACACTTCTTCTCCTTTTTCTAACGGAAAAATTTATGGTTATTTCAGTTCTTTGATATTTATGAAAGACTTTTGACATCATCAAATTATGTGACGAGAAGGCAGTCGCTGAAGGTTCTGTTCGCTACATACCTCTTTCTTTTGGTGCTATATTCATTTCTATTTCACCTCTTACTTAATATTAACAATGAAACTATTCGTGGTTGATTTAGCTTCTCTCGGATTTCCTATTGGAGCCTCCAAATTCCCACATAATGAAAAAATTCATCCTAGAAGTTCGTTACATGAAAGTGATAATGACACTTTTAAAGGTGAGCAATGAGTTTGTGGCTTCATCTTTTTTTTTTTTTGGCGGTTAATTTGTCACAACTCATCAGTTTGTTTTCATGTTCATTTGTGTAGGACTCGAGCAAGAATATTCAGATATCGGCCTTCCATATATTCAAGGTAACACATCTCTTTATTAGAACTGCAGCTAAAACTGCAGTTAATTTGGTAATTATTGTTAATAGGTCTCTGAGCATGAACTTACTGTTATCAGATTTTGAACCGTTTTTTTTGTGTGGTTACAGATCTTTGTGGCGAATCCTAATAAGCCGCAAGAAGTGAAGATCATTTTGGCAAGAAACCACGAGAAATTACTGGAACTTCTTCTCAACTTGTCCCCTGGTAAAGGTATAATTCGAACTATACTTGTATATTAATTTTATGGATTACACTTATTCCATTACTGAAAATCTTATTTAGGTTCCGAAGATGATCAGTTCGAAGAGGAAAAAGAGCTGATCATCGAGGAGATCCGAAAAATGTCTCGCCTGCAAAACCTCGAACTTTGAACATTCCTTGGCCTCTCTCATCTCTCTCTCTGTTCCACGCGTTGATTCCGAGTCCTGCAGAAGAAGTTTCTACTGAACTCTGTGTCGAAATTTCATAACCATTTGTCTTAAACATAAAACTGCTGGTTTTTTTAATGAAAGTTCGTAATATATAACCTTTGATTCTGTGTGACAGACAAAAGACATAATCGCCGAGTTGCTTGGATCCATGAGTTGTCTCTTATTAAAAGACAAACACTTTGTTGCCTTTTGTATGAAGATTGTGCTTTTGTATGTAATGACAGACTCCTCTCTACTTACAGTTCATAGTGAAACCCTTTTTTGGTTTATTCCCTATGAGAGAACAAAAGTATTACAGATTTGAAACAAACAAAAAAATGTAATCGACCTTTTGCTGATGAATCAGCCTAATGTTACAGTTTTGTGAGTAACGCAAGACTCCCAACAAAAATTAGTTTCTTTCAGGCAACATCTAGAATCTCGTTTAAAGAAGTTGCAACAGAATCAGGCATCTTCAGATATCTAATCTTTTGGAGTGCAGCATAAGTCCTACCAGAAGGCTTCAGACCTAAGGCCTTGAGCTCCTCGAATAATTTAATGCCTTTCTCAACCTTATTTTCCTTGCAAAATCCTTGAACCAAAGCGTTATAGGTGATTGCATCGGGTGTTACCCCTGTTTCAGACATTTTCTTGAAAAACTCGAATGCCTGGTCTGCTCTTCCATAAGAGCAGAAACCTGTGATCATCGTATTGCAGCTGACCGTTGTTTCTTCAAAGCCATTTTTAAGCATCTCGCTATAGAGCTCACGAGCAAGCACAACCTCGCCTCTTTTTAAGTGCGCGTGTATCATCACATTGTAAGTGAACTCGTTTGGTCGCATCCCTTTGTTTACCATCTCACACCACAGCTTCCTCGCGCTCCCGAACCAGCCCATCTCACATAATCCATGGATCATTGTGGTATAAATGACTATGTCAGGCGCATAGCCTTTCTCTTTGAGATCGTTGAATATACAAAAAGCCTCCTGCTGCTTCTCATTCTTGCAAAGTCCCTTTATAATCTCGTGGTACGTATATATACTCGGGAAATGGTTCCAAGCTATCATCGTATGGAGAATCTCCGACATACAAGCGTAGTTCCCAATCTGACAGAACCCTGAAATCAATTTGGCATACACAGCATGCCCTGGATCAAGCCCTTGTCTCAAAACCTTCCTCAGAAGCTCATAGCCTTCTGAAACATCCCCACCTTCACACAAAGCTTGGATCAAACACTGAATCCTCTCGAGATCAACCTCAGATTCTGTCATTTCCTGGTGAAGTTCCCAGAAGCGATCGAATTTCCTAGCTTTTACGCAACCTAATAAAACCGAATTGGAGGTTGCAATTGAAGGCATAGTTCCATTCTCTTTCAGTACATTATACACTTGAATACCTTCATCTACCAACCCATCTTCACAAAGACACTTCACGTATTGCTCCAATAACCTTGGCTCCGGGTTAAAACCAGTGGAATCGAGAAAGCTTTTGGCAGCTTTAACGGCATTTGCGTCCAAAAGGGCACCAAAGAGAAGGTTCAAAGATACAGGATCAGGTGTGTAATCATAGTTCGAGCAAAGCCATCGGAAGAACCACATAGAAAGCAGAACATTGTTCTGAGATTTCAATAATTCTCGGAAAAACAAAGGATCTGCGAAATCAAACGAAGGGAAATCAGATACCAGAGTTTGCTGCCATCTCTGTCTCTCTCTCATGATCGTAGAGACAGTTTTCGCCATTTCAGTGTAACTTACAGCCGACGCGGTTCCACATCCGGCTGATTTCTGCAGCTCCTCGGACTTGGATTCACCGTCGCGAGACTCGACGGTGAGACTCCGTATCTGGGGTGTGTTAGGGTGGTTCTGTCGAGTTCGGGTTCTAAAGAGAGTGATGAAATAAGACTGACCTCTACTCATTGCGTATCCAATTCAAGCTCGAAGCAGCCTAGACGCAAATCGTACAAAAAAAGTCGAATACTTGACCGGACCCCTAGAATTTGATCCCCGATTTGATTTGGATCCCTTCTGTAATCCAAAGGAGATGAATGGTTTTTCTTCCTTCCCACAAAAAAAAAGTTTTTTTTTCTTCTTTATGTAATGTAAAAATAAATAAAAATTGTATTTTTGTCAAATAATGTTACGACATCAATTTAGTCAGCGATAAAAATGTCAAATTGACGGATAAAAAGGGGGCTTGCTTCTTCTTCTTCCTCCTCTCTCTCTCTCTCCGTCTATCGTCTTCGCCGAAATCCCTAATTAAATGATTCCGACCACCATCAATTTCCCGCCAAAGAGAATGTGGACGGTCGAGAAATGAAGCTTCATAGTGAATTCCTATCGGCGTATAGCTGAGAGCTCTCTCGCAAATCTCCGTCCTTTACCGGCAAGGTTTCTCCTTTTTTTTTTCCTTCTTCTGGGATTCAAGTATAGTGAGGTTTGCTTCTTAAAAAGTGTTCCGTTTAATATTACCTATGAGTTGAACACTGAACATATTTTTCTGGTTCAGGTGCTAAGTATACAGCAGCTACACAGAATCAGTACAATGTACTGGGATGACAATATATGGCACTCATAGTGTCTCTTCGGATGTATGTTTCACTTGTAAATACCTAAGCTTTCTTTGTCTAGATATGGTATTAATTGTGTTCTTTCAAAAAAAAACCAGCAAATATTGAGGGTTATGATGACAGAGGACTCGAACAATGCCGTAAGCAGCTCTTTCCTTTTGGACGCTGACTCGAGGTAAGCAGAAATAGAATATGTGTTCAGTTTCATTTCTCAACTAACCCAAGGAATCAATGAAAATGCTGCATTCCATTCCACGGTGGAAGACATATCAAAATCAATGCAACAAGTGGTTGTAAATGACATTGAATCTCCTCAGCTGAACTGTGAAAACTCGGGTTTCGGATTCTTACTCACACGTAAAGAAGGCAGTGCATCGTATATTCCTCGGGGAGCTCGGTATGGTCCCATCAAATACGATTGTTTCCGCTGCATATACATAAATACATCGTGTGAGCCACTGCATTCCTATGGGCGTTTTGTGTATATTATATTCTATTCTTTCTTCTTCTTGATTTGGGGGTTCAGTCTCTGGCCTTTGTATTTGTGGAAAGGCCGAGTTTATTTCATTCTTTGCATCCCTGTGGTTATGGCAACTCGCAGGGGTTATCTGTTTCCCATTTGCTTTTTTTTTTTTCATAGAAAGGCTTAGGTGTGTTTGATGCTTTCCTGCCCAGAGAGGAGAGGAGAGTAATATTTTTGTTTTAGTCAATCATGTATTTGTTGGTTTGGGTGAGTCTTTATAACCAACCCTTTTGGGAATTTGTAAATTGTAATGAAGGAACTAGAGTTTGTTATCACTATTAAAAAAGGCTTTTTTACTTTTTATCTGTTAAAATTATGTATACATCAAATAATTTTGGTTCATGAGATTGTTAATTGGTTTCCTCCATCGTTCATTTGATTTTAACCAAATGAATGAAAATAGTTTATTGATAGACCCTTAAGTAGTCACATTACTAGAACTTGTGGTTTCATTACACTTTACATTAGTACTCGGCTGCAGGCTGCAGCCACAAAGCCAGACTTCCTTCTGGTATGAACTCATATACCAGAGCTCTGAAATAATTTCCTTTGGGAATCAGAGGCTTGAGCAAATCGTAAACAGTTTCACAAGGTTACGATGCCTTATACGACGGTATAAGTTTTTGATTCTCGAAACAAGCTTCCAATTAAACAATCCAATAACCGGAATTGACAAAAGTTTTGATTCAATTGTTTCTGGTTTGTAATCTATGGTTATAATGGCGATTCAGCAGATGAAGAATTATCAGCTGACGAGTCTAGTTTATTATGGTCGTGGAGGCACACAAGATTCCATAATTCAGAAAGAAGTTGAGTTCTCGAGCTTATTAGAAAATTTAAGCTTTGAGCCATTGGCTTATGCAGATAGAATAAAAATCATTTCAACTGATCCGGCTTTGAAATTGGCAATGGTGGTCGTGGTGATGCATAGCCGAAGGCGTCATGCTTCTTCTGAGAAGGTAGGCGTTGATTTCGCTCAAAGTGTTCAAAGGTGTGTGTGCGACTTGACTAAAATCTGCAAGAGTGCGTAAGTGGCGTTGGTGCTCGGTGCTTCCGCGCTTGTCTTTAGCTCCGGTTTTCTTCTTCGTTTGGAGGTCGATGTTGGATTCTTTCTAATTTGTTTCATTCACTGCTCTCGTTCTGTTGAGTTTGGCCTTGCTCCTTGTCACTTGTTAACAGATCAGTTTTTTTTTTTTGGCTTTTATGCGTTCTTTTGTCGTTTATGAAATTTTGTGAATTCGCCGTTTCATCTGTTGGTTCTTACTTGCCGGTTTATGAAGATATGGTTTCAGGTTCTTGGTTTAAGAGGATCAGTTGATTGTCATTGGATTGGTCGTGTGGACAATCATTGATATGTCTTTTTCACGGGATCTCCCGAAGTAAAGAAGATTGGTAAATTAGACAAGTTTTGCTGGTATTCAAGTTTAAGCTTTGTTATTTCTAGAGTACAGTAGTTGTGGATTTTGAAAATTTTAGCTTTGTTTTAGTTTCCGAGGGAAATCTTGTTTTTTCTATCGCTTTGTTTCCAGAAATAGGTCGCTTTTTCTATGGCTTTAATCCTCTCGGATACTTCACCGGAACGGAACCCTATGATTTTGATTCCGGTTTTGATTTTTAGATCTTCTGTAATCCAAGGAGATGGAAGGATTTTTCCCACAAAAAAAATGTTTTCTTTTTCTTTCTGTAATGTGAAATTTGGTAGTAAAAAACATAAACAAAAAAATTATATTCCGACAATAATGATACGACATCAGGTCAGAGTTAAAAATGTCAAATTGACGGATAAAAAAAAAGGGGCTTGCTTCTTCTTCCTCTCTCTCTCTCTGTCTATCGTCTTCGCCGAAATCCCTAATTAATTTGTTCCGACCACCAATCAATTTCCCGCCAAAGAGAATGTGGACGGTCAAGAAATGAAGCCTCATAGTGAATTCCAATCGGCACATAGCTGAGACTTTCGAGCTCTCTCGCAATCTCCGTCCTTTACCGGCAAGGTTTTTCCTTTTTTTTTTTTGTGTGTTTTAGCTGTGTGCTTCGCTGCCGATTCGTTAGTCGCCGGTCGCGTCGACGGGAATGGAAAGGTAATTTCTGTTGAAAAACTGTGGTGGATTTGGGTTTTTTACCCACCTCAAATTTCATATTTTCGTTCTTTTGTTGTTCGCTTCAATTAGATGAGTGTAGTTAGATTTTGAATCTAGCTCCACTTGGGCTCTGTGTTTTTCTCTTTCAATTTCTGGGATAATTAGGAATCATTTTTCTGCTCTGTACCTACAAAATTTAGAAATTTGTGTAATGTGATGTGCTAGTGAATTGGTCGGATTTTGATTAACTCTTTGTATTATTTTCTGTCAACTTCGTTGGACCAATTTCAGTGCAGATACTGAGCTTAACAGTTTCAACAACATGGTCGCGAAAGCATATCCGATACGGATCTTGAATCACAACAACGGCATAAACGAAGACGAACAAGGAGGCTCAAGAGTCGAACCTTACGTGGGTCTCGAGTTCGACACAGCAGAGGAAGCTCGTGAGTTCTACAACGCTTACGCTACGCGAACGGGTTTTAAAGTTAGGACTGGTCAGTTGTATAGATCAAGAACAGACGGTACAGTTTCGTCGAGAAGGTTTGTTTGCTCAAAGGAAGGGTTTCAGTTGAATTCAAGAACCGGATGCACCGCCTTCATTCGCGTTCAGAGACGAGACACCGGGAAATGGGTTCTTGACCAAATCCAGAAAGAGCATAACCATGAGCTTGGAGGTGAAGCTCATGTTGAGGAGACGACGACTCCACGTCCATCAAGAGCCCCTGCTCCTACGAAGCTAGCTGTAACTGTTAACCCCCATAGACCCAAGATGAAAGTTGTTGATGAGTCCGATAGAGAAAAACGGTCAAGCACGGGCTCTTTCAAACGTTTAAAAGGAGGAGGAGGCGGTGGTGAAGGAGAAGTGAGCAATGGTCATCACGCAACGCAGCAAACTAAGGCAGTTTCTGGTAGCGAGCCTTACGCAGGGTTGGAGTTTGGTTCGGCTAATGAAGCTTGTCAGTTTTATCAGGCGTATGCGGAAGTTGTTGGGTTTAGAGTTCGGATTGGTCAGTTGTTTCGTTCGAAAGTCGATAATTCGATCACGTCGAGACGGTTTGTTTGTTCTAGAGAAGGGTTTCAGCATCCTTCGAGGATGGGTTGTGGAGCTTACATGAGGATCAAAAGACAAGACTCTGGTGGTTGGATCGTCGACCGTCTCAATAAAGATCATAACCACGAGCTCGAACCGGGGAAGAAGAACGAAGAAGGGTTGAAAAAGATACCGGACGACGTTACTGGAGGATTGGATTCCGTTGATCTTATTGAGCTTAAAGATTTCGGAAACAAGAAAATCCGAGAAAACAGAGTCGGTAAAGAATGGTATCCTCTGCTTCTTGACTACTTTCAGTCTAAGCAAACGGAAGACATGGGGTTCTTTTACGCCGTCGAGTTGGATGTCAATAACGGAAGCTGTATGAGCGTTTTCTGGGCGGATAGTCGAGCAAGATTCGCTTGCAGCCAGTTTGGTGATTCTATTGTTTTCGATACTTCATACAGAAAAGGAAACTACTCTGTTCCGTTTGCTACTTTTGTCGGTTTTAACCATCATAGGCAGCCAGTGCTTCTCGGGTGTGCCATGGTTGCTGACGAGTCTAAAGAGGCTTTCTTGTGGTTGTTTCAGACATGGCTTCGTGCCATGTCGGGTCGTCGTCCAAGATCCGTTGTAGCTGATCAAGACTTGCCTATCCAGCAAGCTTTGTCCCAAGTCTTTCCTGGAGCGCATCATCGGTTCTCAGCTTGGCAGATTAGAGAAAAGGAACGGGAAAATCTCAGGCTGTTTCCAAGCGAATTCAAGTATGAATACGAGAAATGTATATATCAGACACAGACAATAGTCGAGTTTGACTCAGTTTGGAGCACGCTCATCAACAAATACGGTCTTAGAGACGACATTTGGCTCAGAGAGATCTACGAACACCGCGAGAATTGGGTTCCTGCGTATCTAAGAGCAAGTTTTTTTGCCGGAATCCCAATAAACGGAACCGTTGAGACCTTCTTCGGCGCTTCACTTGACGCTTTAACGCCTCTCAGAGAATTCATTTCACGATATGAACAAGGTCTCGAGCAGAGACGTGAAGAGGAAAGAAAAGAGGATTTCAATTCTTACAACTTGCAGCCGTTTCTGCAGACGAAAGAACCAGTGGAAGAACAATGCAGAAGGCTCTATACGTTAACCGTCTTCAGGATCTTCCAAAATGAGCTCGTCCAGTCTTACAATTACCTTTGTTTAAAGACTTATGAAGAAGGAGCAATTAGTAGGTTCTTGGTGAGGAAATGCGGGAACGAGAGCGAGAAACATGCCGTGACTTTCAGTGCGTCGAATCTCAATTCGAGTTGCAGCTGTCAAATGTTTGAGCATGAAGGATTACTCTGCAGACATATCCTGAAAGTGTTTAATCTCTTGGACATTAGAGAGATCCCGTCTGGGTATATACTGCACCGATGGACCAAGAACGCAGAGTTTGGGTTTGTGCGTGATATGGAATCGGGAGTGAGTTCTCAGGATCTTAAGGCTTTAATGGTTTGGAGTCTAAGAGAAGCTGCTTCCAAGTACATAGAGTTTGGGACTTCGTCTCTGGAGAAGTATAAGCTTGCTTATGAAATTATGCGTGAGGGTGGGAAGAAACTTTGTTGGCAGAGATGATGCGCTTGGGGTGATAGATGGTTGACATGTTAATTCTCTTGTGTGTGTTTGTTTATGTGGTTCCAAAAGGATCTGAGAGAGTGTAACAGATCAGAATTAGGTTTTTGGGCGGAGGAAGATACAGATGATGTTTTAAAGAATCAATTCGTTTGATGCTAGTAGAAGCATAGGATGTAATGTAATATCATGTTACCATCAATTCTCTTTGTTCTTCACATTGCACTAGTTAATCATTTCAGATATTACTCTTGACAAAATAAGATACTGAAACAAGTATTAGTCTAACCACAAATTTGGGTGGATATGAGAGAGTCTCTATTCTTTACGTGCGTATAGTGTTCTCTACCTCGTACCATTTTACTTAGTTCTCACGAAGAAGCAAGACTTGAGAAAGGATCCATTGGTTCCAATCTTGGAGTATCTTCTCACAAGTTTCGTTTGTTAGGATGCAAACTAACATGTTTAGTAAACTAGAATTTATCATCTTCATTCTTTTTCAACGATAATAAAATCCTTTAAAGCATTTTATACAATCAAGGTATAGAATTTAAAAAGAAAAAAAAAATAGACGAGAAAAAAAAATCAGAATAACACACACAACACACAAAAGAAGAAACCAAATCAATATGTATATTTCTGTCAATCTAGAAACTCAAACTCTGCCAACATGAGGCCTTTCTCCGGCGACTGTTTCTCCAACTCCGACGTGAATAGCTCCGGTGCACAACAACTGAGTAGCACTCACAATTATTGTCATCACTTCAAGAGTTCTCTGTACATAAAGAAAAATTATCAACCAAAAGAAATACATAATCTAGCATCCGCAAGAAAATATTTTGCAACTTAACATTCGTAAAATTTTAAAGAGATTAACAAAATGTAAAAAAGCTCACCAGATTTGCTTCAGTCCAGCCTATGTTGATCTCCTTACAGGCCAATCTGCACCAAAACCAATCAGTTTAGATTTTGGTTATTAACCGAACCAGATTAAAACCCGGTTTGATCTAAGTATAAAACCGGATGCTGAGCTTTACCCCATGGCTAGGAGAGTGAGAGCCCAGGAAATGAGAGAGGAAGCGGCGGCGGAGTGGAGATTCGGAGAGTCCCACTGAAGAACGTTCATGACTCCGGTGAGTGATGTGGCCATTCCGACGACGCCGGCGATCAACGAGAATATTACGAAAAAACCAGTCGCCATGTTCCCCACCGGGAAGAATATCGGGAAGATCTTCGCCGGAAGAGACAGCACCGACGCTACAAATACCACACAAATGTTGATCACATTCAATTCTCTAATGTTGGATTTATTATTAACTCTGGTAATCAAAGGGGTCTAAATTACCAGACTCGCGAGCTCTCTCGATGCCGTGATTAACAGCCCAGGAAGCGATGACGGTGACGACGAAATAGAGACCAAGATTCAGCATCAGAAGCATGAAAGCTGCCGACTTTGATCCTCCTGAAGCCATGTCTTGTAAAGATTCTCCGACAAATATATATATTTTTAAAAAGACTTCTCAAAACAGCAGACAGGTCCTTTTCTCTGTTTCTATCTTGGGATAATCACAAGATCTCTGTATGTCTGTGTACATATATATTTATATTTATCCAGTTCATAGGAATAAAAGTTACTTCAGCTGAAAGCAATGTTTTCAATTCCTTACTTTGTCTTTCAATTTCGCCAAAGAATCAAATCCCAAGCTTATTTGCTGTCGTTTGCGCAGAAGAAGAAGAAAAGAATAGCTAGAGCCTACAGATAGAGAATGAGAAAAACATAAACTCTTTTTCCGGGAAAACATGTCAGACCCGTTACTTTTCCCGGGAAACAGAAAAAAAAAAGGTTTTTTTAAAAAGCTATAGCTGCTTGGACCTTTCTCGGATAGTTACTCCAAACCAATAAATTAAAGAATATATTGCATAAGTATCACATTTGTACACATTGTTATTCGTTCTTCGTGCAAAACAATGAATCGTATTTGAAGCTCTAATGCAGAGCTCTGAGATTTCTTTTGCAGGATGATTGTTTACGGTTCAATTATCCTCAAGAATTTTCAAGGCCAGCTCGGCTAGCGCATGGACCGTTCTGCTGTGACGGCTCACTCCAACAGTGCCGGAGAAAACATCGAAGTTCTCGAGCTCAGCCGTAGTTTCCAGGACTTTCTCAAGCTCTTTCTCCAGACCCAACTCTCTAAACACCACTACATTATTCTCCACGTCATCTTCCATCATCCAAACCGCCAGCTCAATCGCAAATCTCCTGATTCTTGGAACCTTAATCGCCGGCTTGTCGTGCTTTTTCAGAATCGAGACCAGCGAGCTCGCTAGTTCCCGCCTCTTTACCCCTGAATCCATGAAAACATAGCTCGAGTCTTCCGAGCTCATGAATCTAAACACTTGTGCTGCTAATCCCACCATCACTTCCTGTAATTTGTTGTCTTCTGATGTTATTGACTTCAAGACCTGCAGCAAAATGAAGAAAGTTTCCAGATTTGTTACTTAACAACGTTAACTGTACATAAAAATCTTCCATTTCGAAATTGTATATCAGAATACTAACCGTTGGTGCTGCTACTTTAACAAACTTCAGCTCATGAAAGCATTCATCCCCAGAGTATAAGCACAAGTTTCTCAACACTCTTGCTGCGTTCACACGGATCGAAGGGACTTCAAGTGATTCCACAAGTCTTCCCAACACCCCAAGCCTAAGAACATGGAGGCAGTTGCCTTTGCTCTCCAACACAAGCATCGCTATGGCTTCTCCTGCAGCGATCCTCACATCTCCCTCACTCCCATCGTCCATGTGCGTTCCCCGTTTGAAGAAAATGTTGAACAGCTCTTTCAGAACACCACCCGTTCCACCAATTCTCTCCCGAGCTTCCGTCTCAAGGGCAAGGTTGGTCAAGATCCCGATCCCGAGCTTCTGCAGCTTAGGGTATCTCACTCCATGTCTCAGCACATCCCTCACGTTGCTGACTGTGAAAACAATCTCTGAGATCTCTCTGCGGAGGCATTTTCCTGTGTTCCCGGTTGTGCTGGCTAACATTTTCACCAGCTGCAGCGACCGTTTCAATGTCATAACTTGCGACCTAACAACGTCTGCGTTCTCATCCCTCAGTAGAGTTTCGTCCACGTGTGTAAAATCAATGATCTTTGGGAGAAGACCTCTCGTGTTGCCGAGTTTTCCACAGTTATCGTGATCTCTGGCTAACTTCTTCAGAAGCAAGAGGCCCAAGTTGTTGAATCTACAGAAATCGTAGTGTAGATTATGGTCATGGAACACCTTTTTCTCTCCAATCTCATCAGGAGCTTCACCTGATGATCTCGTGCTCTCTAATAACGATGAAATCGATTCCATGGCACCAGAGATCCCAGCGACTCTTAAAGAGTTCTGCTTTTTTCCGGCGAGTTTCGATAGTATCTCAGCCGCTGATCTCCTAATCTCTTCCTCTTGGAGATCTTTCCAGTTCAGCATTTCCACCAACCTAGTGAGAAAAAAAAGTTAATACTTGCTCGATTCATTTCTCTGTAAAAATCTGACATTTTGATTTGTAAAAACCAAACCTTTCGACAACGGGGAAGTTGATTCCGATCTTCTCAAGTGTATCCTCTGAGTACCGTTCAGTCACTGCAAACTGCCTGAGAATCCTCGCTCCGATGAGCTGTTCATCAGAAGAGTTTGATCCCAAAAGCTCCATACCAAAGCTCACTATATCCATCTTCAGACCATCAAAGATGCTCCCATTGACACATTTTGAGTAGGAATCATAGAAAAACCTCTTGATCGAGACCAAACCAGTAACCCCAAACTCACACTCTCTTGTCACATTCTCAAGCAAATTACAAACACTGACTTGCCACTCCCAATAAGCTTTCTCAGCGAGAAACAGAAGCGCCTCGGCGAAAGCAAGAGCGTAGAATATGTTGAGAGCGGACTGTCTGTTCCTCTTGTCCGTGTCTCCTTTGTGTACATCTCCATAGTTGTGCCTTACGAGCTTATAAGAAGACAAAACCACACATGCCGTTGCAGACAGAAGCTGGAGCCAGTAAAGAAGCCGACTCACTGTGCTAGAGATGAAGAACCATCTCGCGTACGGAAGGAGAGGCACGTCTGAGTTCTTCCACGAGTCGTCGAACGTCGTTTCTCGAACGACGCAGTCTCTTGTCGTTGTCGCTTCCCTTGATCGGCTTTCTAAGATCGGCTTGAAGATCAATTCACTGTAGAGAAACGAAACGATCGTTCATCAAATGTAACCTTCGAATTGCGCCAAAATTGAAAAAAAGGGGGAAAAAACCAAACCTGGTTCGTTTTAAATTTCTGAGAAGTGAGGCAGAGCTTGATCGGAGAGCGCGAAAGCTACTGATTCCGACGCCGGCGACAGTCCACGTGGCTTGGTGCTGCCACTCGAGCTCGTGGCTTCTGCTGAAGATTCTAGCACCTTCGATAAGGAGAATGATGGTGATGAACCAGAAATCGGAACCGTCGAGTGTGATCGCGAAGCCGCCGAGAAGAACCACCGTGGCCCAGATAAACCCAAGGGCTCCGATTCCGGTGGCGGTTTTCTCGAGAATCGCGAGTTGTAGAGCGAATAGCGTTAGCTTCTTCTCCGGAGCTGGGACTGTTGATTTTCTCCGAAACGCGGTCGCGGAGGAGACGGAGGCTGCGTCTGCGGTTTCGCCGCTATCTCCTTTCTCAATGCTGCTTCTTAGATCGAAAACGGTGTCGTTTGAGTCTCTAGCTTCCTCCAATCTCTGAAGCTCCGACACCTATACAAAGAAATAATTTTTAGTAATTAAACATAGTTAAATGTTAAAAAACTGAAACCTACTATTAAACAAACTTAATTTTGCAAAAAGAAAAATAATCTTTTGATCAGCACTTCAAATTGAGACATTCATTGATTGCAAATTTGTAATCTTAATGAATTTGAGGAGAACAAATTAAACTAGCTAATATTATGTACGAAAATGTAAAAGTTTTCAAGAAAATCTAAACTGAAAAACAACTTAAAGAAAGAGTAAGAATTAATGTGATAAAACCTGCAAACGAATGCTTCGATTTTCTTCTTCGTCGAACGTTCTTGAATCCATTAGAAACCGTTTGTTGTTTTTACTCGTTTCCTACTCAAGTCGCCAATGGAAAAGTTTCTCTTTTTCTTTCTTTCTTTCTTTCTTTCTTTCTTTCTTTGTCTTTTTTGAATAGTAATGACTTGAGGAGTTGTTGATGATGCAGAGAAATGTGGAAAGCGTGATTTTACATTCTTCATATATATATATGGATGTATATATAGAGAGATAGAGATATTGAAAGAGAGGAGAGAGATGGAAGCAAATAAGCAAAAGAGTAGAGAGAAAGGCTGCAAATAAGCTAATAACGCAAGAGGAAATGTACAAGAAAGTATAAGTTCAAGATAATTGTTGTATGCTTCAGCCAGCAATTTTATGACCAAAAGTTACATTTTAACAACAACGAAAAAAAACGCTTTTATGTTTTGTTACAAATCTTTATAGTTAATACGTAATAGTACCTTAATACTGTTTTTTTTTACATCCTTTTTCTTTATATTTTTTTCTAAATTAGAGTATACTAAAAAGGTTAAAGATTGCTAATATTATGGTTATATGTTGCTTGACTTATCCTTATAAAAGCAGCCCAAACTTCTTTTTTACCTTCCATCATCAATAATCTGAATGTTTTAACCCAAACAAAAAGAAAACAACATGTAGTTAACATCTTCTATTTTTAGAATCAAAATATGAGCATTTATTGTCCATACATCAATAATTGGATGATTTATTTGCCGTCTATATACTAAGAAAAGCCGTGCATGTTCTTACTTACGATTACAAGTAAAAATAATATGTTTGCTTTGTATTTGCGTCTAGAATTTCTATAAAATGTTTGGTAAAGAAATTATCTTATTCTTTTTAATGCAAACATATATTCTTAAATCTAAAACGCAGATTGATAAAAAAAAAAAAAAGCCTACATCATCAACATTATTAGTCTAGGATTTTAGTATCTCTAGTTGCGGTGCATAACATCATGTACCAAAAAGAAACCTATGAAGTGAAATCAACTGTTTTTTTCTATTTTTAAGTTACAATGGTTGAAGTTTTGTACTTGTGTTCTAGATAAGTCACGAATTATTGTCTTATTAGTGCTAAAAACGTTGACGTACGCAAGTCTAATGAAATATAATCCATAACTAAATTAAATTAGTGAGTCAATATAACTCGGTGAGAGTAATGGTGACTTGCAAGCATATGAGTTCCAGCAGAAGTCTTCTTGTGTGAAGCTAAAGGCTCAAAGCCTGAAATGGGTTCCTCCTCTTTGGGACCCACTTAACCCTCTCTTTGTAGAAACAAAGAAAACACATATATAGTTTCCATTAAAGATAACTAAATTTTGTACTCTGTAAAATCAAATATCAATCCAATGTACTACCAGACAAAACAGAGATAGCACAACATAAAGATTGGCTCTTACTCGTTAGATATCCTTGTAATCAAATGATAAAGTGTTATACAACATTTCCACTCTCCATTATGAAATCACACAAGATTACAACAACACTTTGGCTCTGATCGGTACGTGAAATCGAAATTGAATCTGTCGTCTTTATTTGTGATGAAGAGGATGCTAAATGAATGAAAACAAATAAAAAAAAGAAATTGGTGTGGCCAGACATAAAGTTTGTTTAAGTATATAACCAACCAAGGTAACACCCATGAATAGTTTGGTATTGTTTGCGTAGTAGGTATCGTTTGAATATCTTCTTTGTTTTTGTTGAAAGATATTCAAAAGATTTAGCATTTAACACAACAAATTTAGAAATCCTCTCAAGATAGAAGAGAGAAGAAAGGTATTTAGAAGACTTTGCTTGGGTAACATCATTACAAATCATCCAGGCTGAAGATTGATGTTCCAAAAACACAAGTTAAGAGTTCTAAAGCAGCGAGTGTTAGTGAGTGAATCTCTTGGTGAAGTTCAAAACTTTATAAATTCTACACACATACATTGGTGAAGTTCAAAACAAAATTTCACTGAAACGTGAATTAGACAAAACGGACATTCCGAATTCAATTTCAAAAGTGATAAAAAATGGGAATTGCCTATAAAGCAAAGCACAAGAGAGAATGTGAAAAAATCAATCAAATCCGGACAATTCTCTGATGAACCTTAGACTTCTCAGCATCGATAATGGATTCCACACGCTTAACCGAATCTTCAAGCTTCCCTTTCGCATTAACAACAACGTAATCAAAATTCTTCACATGCCTAATCTCTTCCCTCGCCGTAGCAACCCTAACAAGCAGCTCCTCATGACTCTCCGTTCTCCGATCAATCAACCTCTCAACCATCGCAAGCTCACTCTCCGCCACAAGGAAGATAAACACTGCAGAGTTGCCAAGAATCTTCCTAAGCGTCTGAGCTCCTTGAATGTCGACCCTCAAAACGATGTCGTATCCTTTAGCCATGAATTCTTGGATCTGCTTTTTCGGGATCCCTTTGTAATCGCCGTAAACGAGGGCGTGCTCGAGAAGCTCGTCTCTCTCCACCATCGATAAAAACTCATCCCTCGAGACGAAGAAGTAATCTCTGCCGTCGAGTTCTCCGGGACGCATCGGGCGGCTCGTAGCTGTGACAACAAAATGGAGACTTTCACGAACCTCTCTGAGCTTGTTGATCACCGCGTCTTTTCCGACTCCGCTTGCTCCGCTTATCACGATGACTAGAGGATTCGGAGGAGGAGTTATCGGATCGACGCTGAAGGAAGAACCCAGATGGAATTCGAGCGCGCGAAGCAATTCGGGCTTGGTGGCTGATGGAATTGCGGCCGGATTAGGGTTTTGTGGGGAATCAGACATCTGGGTTTCGGCGATTCTCAATGAGGAAGAGCGGAGACGCGAAGATTGTTGGAGAGATTGTGGATAAGATCCCGATTTGAAGATGGGTCTGGTAGAAATTGGGAAGATGGAGGAACGGGATAGAGAAGAAGAGATTTTTCGAAACATCAGAAAGATTAAAGGAGAAGCATTTGAAGATGCAGAGGTTTAGGGTTTATGGGAATCGGTCGTTGAGAAGCTCCTTTTGCTCGGAGTTATCGGTGAAATCTTTTCCTCCGTCTAACTCTGACCCACTCATCTTCTCGATGGTTCCGTTTTAAAAACAAAAATTAAAAGCATTTTGCTCTCATAAATTAAAATTTTTTTGCTGTTGAATAAACGGCCCAATAAGATTCAAGAGATGTGAAGCAGTATAGCTTAATATGGAAACTGAGACGACAATTCACATTTCTTTCTCTCTATTTTCGTGCACAATAAGATTTGCACGTAAATAAAAATATGAATGATTTGTTTTTTTAATTACTTTTTGGACGTTTTTAATTGGCTAACTTGTCCTAACTTGTTTAAAAACCTCTCATATCCTCACTTTCTTTGTTTCGTTCTCTCTTCCTTGTTCCTCTTTCCTTTTCGTTCCCACCGACGTCATCGATCTAGATACCTTCTGGCTCGATCTCTGCCGGAGACTTTCGCCGATTATCATTCTCTGTTCTGTATCCCTCCGATTCCGTATTCCTGTCTCGTCTCTTTCTGATTTCTTTCAAAACCCCTAACTTTTGTTTCGGAATTATTGACCTCCTGAATCTGGGGATTTCCTGGATTCTTCCCGGATTACAAGACTTTGATTTTCCTCTAGAATCCTTCCAGACGGAGTAAATCGAAGGTCTTTTTGGTTTTTGGACCAACCATCATTAGTTTTTTGGGATCCCGTCTTGTTGATGGGCACAACTAGGGTTTGCTCGGAGGTTTCTGGATCTTCGAAATCGCTTGGCTCGCCGCTCACGGTGTCGACCTCTCTCACGGAAACCGTCAATGGCTTCCACGAATTTAAGATCAGCGGCTACTCTCTCGCCAAAGGCGTAGGGGTCGGCAAATACGTCACCTCTGATACGTTCATGGTCGGTGGCTACTCGTGGTCAATCTACTTCTACCCTGATGGAAAGAGTCCAGAGGATAACTCAGCTTACGTTTCTCTTTTCATAGCCCTCGCGAGCGAGGGAGCCGATGTGAGAGCTTTATTCGAGCTCACGCTTGTGGATCAGAGTGGAAATGGAAAGCATAAGGTTCATAGCCATTTCGGAAGAGAACTCGAGAGTGGACCCTATACTCTCAAGTATCGAGGAAGTATGTGGTGAGTATCTCTCTCTCTCTGTTCCTGGAAATTTTCAAACTTGCAATAGTAGTTCACGTTTTTTATTGATTTCAGGTTATCGTTATTGATATGGCTTTGTGATAGATTGTTAGGATATTTTTTGTTTTGAGTTTTCAGTGTTAATTTTGTATTTGATGGTGGCTTGTTTCAGGGGATACAAGCGGTTTTTCAGGAGGTCCAGTCTAGAATCATCAGACTATCTGAAGGACAATAGTCTCTTGGTTCGGTGTCGCGTCGGTGTTGTGAAGTCGCGCACGGAAGGACCTAGGAATTACAATATCCCTGTACCAGTTTCTAACTTGGGCCAACAGTTGGGAAATCTTTTGGAAAGTGGGAAAGGTTGTGATGTTACTTTTGAAGTCGATGGAGAAACATTCGCTGCGCACAAGCTGGTTCTTGCAACGCGTTCCCCAGTTTTCAGGGCACAGCTTTTTGGCCCGTTAAGAGACCGAAATACCGAACGCATAGTGATAGAAGACATGGAGTCCCCCATTTTCAAGGTCCTACCTTTACTTCTCTTTCTGGGATTACATGTTTTTTGGTCTGGGAATGTGTAAGTAGATATCTACAGTTAGTCGAGGGGTCTTTACAAGGTCTTATAGAAGTGATAGATTTCTTGGTTCCTTGCCTCTTTTTCTTTGGGTGAGTGATTGTGGTGTCATACAGGATTTACTATTCACGGATGTACCATCCGGGATCTTCTCCTGGGGCGCTACTCCTGTTCTCGAGTTTACTCACCCGGGATAAGGTTCTTTCTTTCTGCTTCTCTTCCTAGTTGGTTGCATGAATGTTTGTGTTTTCTCTCATTCCTACCAGGCGTATCTATGTAACATTAACCTGATGAACAATTTGAATCTTTAGCATATTAGAGAGATTGGCTCGTGGGTTTTGTGATATAATGAATCTATGCCTGTTTTCCTTTGTCATGATAGGTTTTGTCATTAGTCCTTGCGTTAGGTTCAAATTCTAATGTGGGTGTGTAACCTTGATACAAACTCTTTTGTTTTCTTGTGCAGGTATTGCTCCATTTTATCTACTGGGACGAATTGCCTGATATGCAAGAGTTAATGGGCGGCGTAGACTCTCAATCGGCCTCTACTCTTGTGGCTCAGCATTTGCTTGCAGCAGCAGACCGTTATGCTCTTGAGCGGCTTAAAGCAATCTGTGAGTCTAAACTCTGTGAAGGGATCGCCACAAAGACAGTTGCAACCACCTTGGCCCTAGCGGAGCAGCATCATTGTTTCCAGCTAAAGGGTGTCTGTCTCAAATTCGTCGCATTGCCAGAGAATCTGAAAGGTTAAAAAAAAAAGATAATCCTTTTTGCTGTAAAATCGATCTGTGTCAACTCTCTGCTCTCAATGCTCAATGTATTGAACTAATGTTATTTTCCCTCTTGTTTTAATCAGCTGTGATGCAAACAGATGGGTTTGATTATCTGAAAAAGAGTTGCCCTTCTTTACTAACTGAGCTATTGGAGTATGTGGCGAGGCTTGGTGAACACTCTGTTGTAGCATCTGGGCATCGAAAAGAAATGTTTGCCGATGGTTGTGATGCGAATGGAAGAAGAGTGAAGCAGCGGTTGCATTAAACGCATTTGTGCATTGTATAATCTCTGTTTAAGGATAATGGCTGATCTGAACCGGTTCAGCAAGTACAATGAATCTTTTTTCAATGCTTTTCTATTAATATCAAAGATCCAATGGAATTTGGGGATTAGTCTTTGTGTTTTTCAGAGTATTATACTTATTCGTACGTAATGGATAAGAATATAAGAGTTACAACCGTAGATAGACAAAGGTTATGAAGACAAATTACATGAAAGGATCTGTAAGAACGCTCTTTCTTCTTCATCTTTTCCTTTCTCTCTTATCGCTCTTTCATGTTTCGACTCTTGAAAACGCGATGGATGATTCAAAGGGCTTCTTTTTTAGCTCTCACTGAGGCGTCAAGTTTAAAGCTGCTTCTTTTAGACCCAAAACATCATCTTAGTACCAGCGACTCATTGCAGTATCTTGCGCTGCAGCAACTTTCTGTGGTATATACTGAGGGTTTTGTTTCAATCTGCTTGACCCTTCGGCGGCAACGCAGTCTTCATCTCCTCTATTGCTTTTGCAAGGTTGAGTTCTCTTTGGGTATTGAGCCGCACCAGCTGGATTTCTAACCATCCTACGCTGTTGTTGTTCAAGAGCTTCAACTCCTGTCGCTGCGCCGCAGTTGTTATAGCGTAACACTGATCCAACTACTTTTCCAGGCCTAGCCACTGCGGCTCCTGCTTCATTACAACAAAGGTGAATATTCAGAATCCACATATGTTCTGCACCATAACTATATAAACAGAGAGAGGTTGAGACCTTGGATTGTTTGAGGGACGTTAATAGGAATTCGCGACATTGGCATCTGCGCATTCCTGTCTGCGCCACGCTGTCTCTCTGTATCTCTGATGCTACACTTGGAGAGTCCATCAGTGACTTCCACTGAATTCTGCTGTGCTGCAGCATGATTGTTATCAGAGTACAAAACGCAAGCCCTGCATAACATAACAACAAAGACTCAATTTACTAATTCGAAATAATCTCCAATCAACAAATGTTTATATGAAGTAAAGCATACCTAGGTAATGATGCGTGCTGCTGCCTCTCGGGGGGATTATGCGAAGTACCATTCTTGTAGTGTTCCTCGAGGTAAGCAAACTGTTTCTTGAAATGTTCCACCGCACTGCAGAATGAATATTACATTTTTGAGAGATCATGGACAAGTACACAAAGAGTTAGTTGGCCAAGAATGTAAACGAAGCAGGTTGGTCAGCTCAGGAAAGTACCTCGGGTACATAAAGTTAGTTGGCTCCGATCCATCCAAGTACTCTTTCAGCATCTTTGGGTGGTACTCAAGAGACTCTCTATATATGAGCTCTCGCACGTCCTCTTTTGTGATCCTCCGCCTCTCGAACTCGAATTCTAACTTTGTCACAGGTTGAGCAGAGGGCTCTCTCTCAACCTTAGCTAAACCCTTGAAATACGGATCCGCAAGCGCCTGAGATAACACATAAAGCCATGATTTTAGTTGAATGCAACCACCAAAGTTACATCATAAGGAGAGTAATGAACGAAATGTGTGAAGCACCTCTTCAGCTGTAGGCCGGTCCTTGGGTTCAAAAGACAACATCTTCTCTAGAAGACGAAGAGCGAGAGGATCAGCATGTGGAAACTTATGTGAAAAAGGAATAGGCTTCTTCTTCCGCATGCTGCTCAAGTATCTTCGAGCTTTCTCGTTCCTCACCTGTCACGTTCAGTGCAAGCAAATTCAGCCAAGAAAAAGAGACAATGCAGCTGCACTAAGCAATGTGAAAAAGGGACACTGACCCTTCCAATGGCTTCTGCAGATGGAGTTCCCAACATATCAGTCATCAGGTCTAATTGATGGACCACATTTTTCCCGGGGAAAAGAGGTTTCCCTGTTAAGAGCTCTGCAAAAATGCACCCTATGCTCCATATATCTATCGCCGGTGTATACTGAACATAAGCAAAGTCATGAAAAAAAACACATTACTACGAAGAAATTACGCTCTGTAACATACCATTCCCTATAAAAGTTTGACAGATTTGATGAAATAATGTAATGCAAAATCATGGTCACCTTTGAGAAAAATGATCCACAAAGTTCTGGAGCCCGGTACCATCGAGTAGCTACATAGTCCTGCGATCAGAAAGCAATAGGATAAAAACTGATTCCACGCTAAAAGGAGTAATCTTGAAATGAATTAGGCATTGTATTACTACTCACAGTCCAGAATATCGCAGTTGGTGTATCATTGAATGCGACTCTTGCGAGTCCAAAATCACAGATCTTGAGTTTGCAATCGGCATTTGCCAATATGTTTTTGGGTTTAAGATCTCGATGAAAGACATTCGCTGAGCAAAGTATGAACAAAAATAGTATCTTCAGAAACAACATCCAAAACTTATGCTAAACTTGTGAAAAATCTGCAGGCTTACCTGTGTGTATATACTTGAGGCCACGGAGAAGCTGATAGAGAAAAAACTGGTAATGCTCAGGAGTCAAATCATCGTTTGCCTTGATAACCTGGTGCAGATCAGATTCCATGAGCTCGAAAACCACGTAAATGTCTCTGAACTCTCTTCTTGAAGGCGGCAACAAAATGTGTTTGATCTCGACAATGTCTGGATGGCGTAAGAGCCTGAGAAGTTTGATCTCACGGAGAATGCGGGTGGCATCAGAGACATGCTCGAAAATGTCATTGATCTTCTTGATCGCAACTTTCTCGCCGGTGTGTGTGTCGTAAGCCGAGCAGACGACTCCATAGCTTCCTTTACCAATTACTTCCTCTATTCTGTATCTGCTCCCTTCACCGTATTCCGTGAAGAAATCTAATTCGACTGATGACTGAATATGGAGAAAATGTAATGTCAGTAAGATTAAGACTAAACTAAAAGGCATTGAATGTGAGTACGGATTATTACAGATCCTAAGTAACATAATCGGATCTCGGATACTCTGTTATGCAAATCTGAAAATCTATACATATAATTTGACACGGAAGAGAAAGTAAAAATCCGACCTTTTTGCGCTGATCAGGCTGCATCTTTGGCTACAGGGCATCCAAAAAAAACGCTACTAAACCCGGAATTAGTGAGCTTTGGATTAAGCTAAGGCGGAGAAATGTAATTATTGAGATCAGAAAATGACGCAATGTAAACAAAGAGCTAGCAACGCAATGTCCAAAACCCAGAGCTCTCTTTTCCCAATCCCTAAATCCAGAATCGAACGGAGAGGAGACTGAAACAAATCACAACACTTCCCGAGACCAAAGGAGAGGCAAAGTTCAGGGTGGAACAACGAATTCGTAATCGAGATTTCGTTGCTTTAGCAGTGAAAAACAATGGATCAAAACAAGTAAAAAAGAAATCTAGATGGGGAATTTGAGAATGGCTTCAGTATTCGAAAGAAGTGAAGAAAGACGAGATTCTATCTTCTTCGATCAATCTCTGCTTAAAAATCACTCAGGAAATAGAAGGAAAAGAAATAAGAGACGGTTGTTCGAAAGACGAGAAGCCTTTATGCTTCAGAAACCTAGATACCAAAAATGATTCTCTGAGCTTACAAGTTTCGTTTCGGATCTGAATCTCACAAGGCGAAGAAGAGATTGAGAAAGAGAAGAGAGATAGAGAGGTAGAAGAAGAGGCGAGTTTCTCCTTTTGTAGAAGAACGCACAGAGAGATCTAAATTTTCTTACAAGATGAAGAACCGAACAGAACAGAACAGAACAAGTATTAATATGATTTATATCTTCTTTACTTTTTGTGATAATTGAAAAAGCAGATAAGTGGAGTCTGATTATCCTACTAAGAAAAGTCCATTCTACCCTCCAGTTTATGGGTAGTCGCGACTTTGTAGTATGACTAGCTTTGGATAATGTCCAAAGGACGAATATCCTAATAGTTTATATATTTTGTATAAATTAATTGTTAATTTGTTATGGTCATCTAATTAATAGTTATCCGATGTATTATGGATTAATGATCACTTTAATTATTAAAAATAAAGATATTTCATTTACTTTATTGGTTTTCTTTCCTGTTATTGTTAATTTTAGGATGTCTAAATGAAGTAGATTATCCTATGACCAAAAAAATGTAGTTTATCATATAAATTTCTTGATTACAATTAAGTTTTCAAACTTACTTAATAAATAAAATTTAACATTCATTCAAAAAAAAAATTTAAAGGTTTAAAATCACTAATCTTTTCTTCAAAATGAATATGATAGATAAACAGAAAATATATAGCACATATTTTAACTGTTTATAGACAACATATGTGAACTGACTACAAGATACTTATAAAATTTGTATACGCAACATCTACTTTAGTTTTCATTTCAAGTATTTATTTCATATTTTTCCTGTTTTTTTTCAATTTGAAAAATTGTTATTTTGACTTCTTTGCTCATATTAATACCAAATATATAATAACCAAATAACAATTACGCAGAAATATATTTTATAAAAAAGAAAAAAACAAGCGGAGAAAGAAGAAGGGTCACGACGACCTGTGGAAAGGCTTCAGTCCATGTGCATCACATGACTCTTATGATGATGTTATCATAAAATAATAAAATACCAAAAAATAATTATTTTTTCTGTTCCTCTAAACTTGTAATGATTAGTTACTGTATTTAATAAAATGTAATCTCTGGATAGTCTCTAAGAGAGCGTAATGATGCAACGCTGTAATGGGTCATATTTAAAAGGGGCAAACCTTTAAGCTTCAAATTAAATGCTGAAAGATTCATTATACATATCAATTGAATTCGTTATTAGAAGTTGACAACTAGTAGATCATTTAGACAGACTTTGTCAACCAAAAAAAAGATCATTAATCAGAGTAGATTTGTTATTTATTTATTTATAAAAATAAGGGCCGAGTAAAAGATAGTTTGTTCTTTTTTCAATAATAAGGTAATAAAGAATAATTTATTGCATGAACAAGAAACAAAAAAGATGAGAGAGTCTGTGTTCTGGAATCTGAGCAAACACACGCGTTCGTTCGGGCAGCAAAGAGCCAGCTCAGCTAGGGATGGACCCACAAAAACACGAACTGACCAAAGTTCAGACGCGTTTCCGATAAACCTTCCCGTGTAATCCACGCGCCATACAAATGGCCCATACAACAACAATAAAGCCCATTAAAGAGCCTAACAAGAACGAAGAAACGAAAAGGGGTCAGCACAAATCACACAACGCCACTCAAGGCACGTGACCACTCAACATCTCTTGTTCGCATCTCTTCTCTGACCAAAGCAACATCGCCCCATCTCCCTGCGTCTGCATAAACATTCGAAAGCAACACTTTACATCCTCCGTGAGATGGATCGATCGCCGCCAGCTCAGAAGCCGCCAGCTCAGCCACCTCTACGTTCCGGTGAATCCGTGAAGCCGATAACAAGATTCCCCATATGATCACATCCGCCTTCATTGGCATCTTCTTGATCATTTCTTTTGCTTCCTCTAATCTCCCAGCTTTCCCTAACAAATCAACCATACATCCATAATGCTTGATGTCTGGCTCGATCCCGTAACTGCTCTTCATGCTCTCGAAATACGTTTTACCCAACTCCACAAGCCCCGCGTGGCAGCATGCGCTCAAGACACCGACAAAAGTGATGCTGTTCGGTCTGATGGGGAGTGACTGGAGATCAAAGTAGAGATCAAGAGCGAGTTTTGCATGGCCATGCGTCGCTGACCCGCAAATGATAGCGTTCCAGGGAGAGATTGTTGAAGAAGAAATGTTCTTTGTTTGGCGGAAAACGTTTAGGGCGGTTTCGATGCTTCCACATTTGGCATACATGTCGATTATAGCAGCGGTCAGATTGTCGCTGGGAGGAATCGAGCTAGTGTTTAGATACTCATGCGCTCTTTTCCCTTCTTCCAACGATCCTAACGATGAAATTGCAGAGAAGACACTCACCATTGTGATTGCATCTGGTTTTGTTTGGCAACTACTGATCATTTCGCGGAAGAGATGTAGAGCTAAGTGAGGAGAACTACTCTGTGCATAACCCGAAATCATAGCGTTCCATGAAAAGATATCTTTATCACGAGTCTGATCAAATACTTCCCTTGCCTGCTCAACCATTCCATTCTTTACAAATCCAGCAATCAACGCATTTCTAGACGCGATGTGGTCTTTAATGCTCGCTTCAAACTGCTGAATAGCCTGTTCTATGTTATCAGAGACAGCGTAGAAATGTATGATCGTTGCTTGTATGAAATCGTAACAATCGAAACCCGTCTTCACGATGGTACCATGAAGTTGCAATCCTTTAGAACTGCCTCCTGATCGAGCTGAAGCAGAGAGAAGGTCCACCATCATAACTTCACTAGGCTTCATTCCACGGCGCAGCATCTCGGTGTAGAAAACCAGAGCTTCGTCAAGCTTATTCTTTCGGAGACACCCATCGATCATGGTTCCCCAAGAGACAATATCTTTCTCAGTGATCTGATCGAACAAATCCTTAGCCTGCTCGATAAGTCCAGCTTTTGAGTACCCGTTTAACATCACGTTCCAAGTAACTAAATTTCTCTCAGGCATTTCATCGAACAAGTGACGAGCATCCTTCAAAGATGAGCAGACACAGTACATATGCAGCAAATTCGTCGAAACAAAAACCCGATCGTCAAGTTTCAGCTTCATCGCCAAACTCTGCAACATCCTGCAATCCCAAATCCCACCCAAATGTGAGCAAGCGGATATAATAGTGGCTAATGTCACTTCATTAAGCATGATTCCCAAATTTCTCATCTCTTTGAAAAGCTCCATCGCTTCACTCCACTGATCGTTTTGAGCGTAACCCTTAATCAGAGTAGTATACGAGACGCAGCTTCTCTCAGGCATTACGTCGAACAACTTAAGCGCGTCTCCAAGACGACGAGATCGAACATACCCATCGACCATGATATTGAAAGATGCAGAATCAAGTTTCGCGTGCGACCGGAAAACAGATTCCGCATCCGCCAAGAGACGGCATTTAGCGTACATGTTAAGGACGCTATTGCAGATGAACACATTTGAATCAAAGCCGCATTTCAAGACGCGGCAATGGATTTGTCGGCCACAAGTGACGTCATTACTGGAGGCGCACGATCCAAGAGCAGAGACGAGAGCTCGCTCAGTATCGGGATTCCCGTCGCCGGAGAAATCGAAGTGGGTCGGACTCGGAGCCGTCGTGATCGAAGCGGAGAAACATCTCGCCTGCTGAGGAGAAAAGACCCGACAGCGACGAGACCCCAGAAAAAGAATCGATATGATCATAAGAGACCATGAGAGCAAAATGCTAAACCCTGAAGGTCGAAGTTTTATACTTTCAAGCTCGTAATTTCAAGCTCACAGAGCATATATAGGTTCTTGTGGTTTGTTCAGGGAAAAAAGAAACATTATTTTATCAGGAATTAAAGACCAAATATAAGGAACAGGCATTTGATTTGATCATTCAGATTGGATTTTTTTCTGAGTATATATAGTTCCACAGAGGAAGTGTTCAAGGGTAATATGACATTTCTAGTTTCAGGGATTAAGTCTATAGGAAATGGAATAAAAAATTAATCATTAATATTTTCCTCCTAATCCTTAATGAATGTTAATCCAATAATAATAAGAACCTGCAATTGTACATCTGCAACTGCAACATTTTAAGGTGATAATCTGTAAGTATAAATTGGGGAGTTTCCGGATCAGCGATTGTCTACATATCCCTTTCCAGCTAATTTTGCCGGCGATCTGCAGAAAATAAAGCACGCTAACTGATCAAGACAAACAAAGTAATATACACAACAGAAGACTGAAAATCGTTCTCTAATCACAGCGAATACAAAAGGAATCCTAAAGCTTTATTATAATCAAGAATCATATGCAGTTATGATGAATTCAGGAATCACCAAGCAAACAGGAAAGTAAAGCACCAGCAGATTTGAATAAAAGCATTTTGTAACAACAAAAACTGGAGTGCTTAGTTACCAAGAAATAAAGGAGTGTTTCCTCTACGGTAGGCAATAAGCTAGACACAAGCTATCCATTTGATCCTAAAGTTTGAACCTTTTGGCATCTCATTATCCAGCTGAGCTATTAGATAAGCTTCCCAATACAATGAACTTGACACAACTACTTTAAAAAGTAAAATTGGGAAAATTTCAAATCACAACTGGTATATGGTGCACATGTTCCATGATAATGGCTGCATGTGCGTTAACTCTTTCAACCATTAAAACGGTATGGTGATATAGACCAGACAAACATTACATCAAACAACTTAAGAGTCATGTTCAGTTGTTTAACTTACATTTCTCAAAAAAGAACATTCAACCTGCTAAAAATCATACGATGGCTTCCAAGAGCACAACCATCACAAAACTAGTCATCGATCCACCAGTTGACAAATTCCGTTCATCATTAGAACTGGAATAACCAAACCTAGCCGCAGCACCATAATCGATAAGAAGCGCGTATCAAAGCCTAAGGATTTGTCTAAATAAGCCAATGAGGATTTACATAAACAGATATGTTCAACTAGCAACACTATTAATCGGAATTTGCATTAACCTAAAAATCCACTAGTAACCAAGTTCCAGCTAATCAATGTAGCCAATATTCACAACCAGTGCAAGAACAGAACATTTTCAGCTCAGAAAAGTCTTAAGCCAATTCAAAATGAAGAGGAGAGTTCTGACTTACTTTTTATGACGCCGGCTTCTCTTAGGTCCCCAGCCTTCGAGCTTAGCAATGGGACAACCACACTTTGATCGGAAAAGCAACACAGCTCGACCATTAAGCGGAGCCATCTTCCTCAGCTCAGCTCTCAAACACTCGTAATCAGGATTGCTCTCGCTGCCTCCTTTCCACGGCAACCGATCAATCTCCTTAGCCGATCCAGATTTGATGCATTCCTCCGTCTGCAGCTGCAAATCAAACTCCATAGCCTTCTTCAACCCCTTGCATTTTGGGTTACGGCACTTCCTCGATCTCGACCCGCAACACAGGTCGAGGAACGCAATCGAAGCCGCGAAGAAGACAGCGAAGACGAAGAAGAACGAAGCCGGAGAGATCCCGAAGGAATCGGAATCGGAATCTTCATCGTCGTTGTCGTGATCGGAGAAGAAGAAGACGAGAGGGAGGAGAGAGGAGAAAGAGAGGGCGATTGAGGGGAAATGAGAGGAGAGGAGAGAAAGGGAGTGGATTAGGTAGGAGAAGTAGGAAGAGAGGAGGAAAGCGCCGGAGAAGAGGACGAGGATAAGGATTAGGAGGTCGAGAGTCGCCGACGGAGAATGCTTGCAGGGATAGAGGGAAGAGGAGGAGCTTGAGGTGTGATTAGCGGCGGATCTAGAGGCGGAGGAGGAAGGGGGCATACTGGTGGAATCGTCTTCGGCGTCGGCGGCGGCGGAGGAGGAGGAGGATACAAGGAGGAGATTGAGCATGTTAGGAGGAAGACGACGGTGGACGGTTGTCAACAGCGGTGGCTTCGGAGGGCCAACCAAATGCCTCCTCTAGATATAAGTCTCTGTGTATGTATAGGTTTGGCAATCGAATTAATATTTTTATATAGAAGAGATTCTTTATAAATAAAAAAAAATACTATATAAATACTGGAAAATAATGCAAGTCACGAGATAAGTAGTAATTACCTACTAATTAGATACGGAAACATTTTGGAAAACTATACTTAAATAATAAAAAAAAAAAACAGGAAAACAAGAATAAAGTGGCCGACACTGCTAGGACCTGTAGAATGGTACGAATTTGACAAAAAGAATCCTCTCGTTTCTCTCGGAAATCACATTTTGTAGAAATGTAAAAGTTAAAGACATTGATGGTTTTGATTTTTATGTTTGATGTTGGGCGCATTATTTAGAATTTAGATGTTAAGACTCCTTTGTACTTTATTATTTGATTTCCTTGAGATAATACTCCCTCCGTTTTACAAAGAGTGAATATATCGTTTTTGAAAAAAGAATGTAATTTTAGAATTTTAATGTAATTTTTAACATAAAATATCATTTTTAATTTTAATAAATTCAAAAAATTAATTATAAATATAATTCCAAAAATCATTTTCTGCAAATTAATAAAAGTATAAAAAAACCTTTTATCTTATTTCTTAATTTGTGTGAGAATGACACTTTTTGTAAAACGGAGGATGTAATACTTATGAATTCCATGGACAATTGATAATAATTAGGTCCTTCCTAAAGAATCCAAGTTTTACTAATCGCTCATAAAACATAAACGAAGGATCATTTATTAACAAAAAGAGAATCGGAACGTGATCTCCGGCGACGGGACATTCCAGGCTGGCCAAATTTAACAAGAATAAACCTGCCATCAAAGAACTAAACCAAAAACCAGTATCATCAACAATCCCATGTTATTTGTGTCAAAGAATCATTATAACCAGTATAGAATAAACATGTTTATTGAGTTTCAAACAAGCTTTTATACCTTTCCGTTCATGGCTTCCACAGCCAACTGTGCATCCTCTTTTTTGTTAAACCAGACATAGCCATATCCTAGAGATTGCCGAGTCTTTTCGTTTACGATGATTTTTACTGCCACAAAATAGAGATGCACGGTAAGATAATAGAGATTGTGCTGGTTTCTTACTGATTCTTCTAACCAAGAATACTTCTTTATAATGCTCAATCAATAAAATTGACTCACAAACCACAAGCTTTGCTTGGTTAATCGACCTAGCGTGTAGTTATATGTTCTCAACGGAAAAGAAGAGAAAATCACCAAGAAACACCCAAAAAATACATACGAGAATATATATAATTAGTTACAGTTTCAATCAAAAAGACTGCGAAATGATGAGATCGTAATGGCAGGATTTGATGCTTGTGTCCTCCGTTAGTCATTGATTCTGCCATAAACATTGTTGAAATGAGAGAGGTATAGTGGCCTCCTTCTCTAACAGTAGGAATTCAGGATTCCCTCATTTATTTATCTATTTAAAGACATGAATAAGACGAAGAAAACTTTTTGCAAATCAATGGTTTCTCATTAGCTCATGATCAAGACCTATTTATTTGTATCAGAGCTTCCATTTTTTTGCTCTTGATTCCACACCACATTGTGATATCGAAAACACATAACTTCCATCATCTATCTTGGTTTTGATCTTGGACCATGACTCGTGGTTACAAAACCTTCAACAAAGGAAGAAAAAAAGTTCTTCTATTATCATCATCTATACCCTTTTTTATGAAGTCCTCTGTTTTGATACCACAAGCTGTGGTCCGAAGCCTAGATAGATGATGGAAGATAGGTGCATAAGATATCATCGAGCGGTCTGGACCAAAAGCAATGCTCTGACACTGTTGCTTGTCACTGTCAAGAATTTCAAGAGAAACCATTGATTACATAGAAACTTCTCTATTTGTTATTATTCATCTCAAATAGAGAAACAAAGAGAAGAGTCGTCGAGTTATACAACTCAAGAAAGTCAAAAGATAAGTACTTCTTACAGCTAAGGAGTAAGAATGAAAACCAATTCATACTAATATTAATTAAGCTATGAACAAATTTATTGATTTAATCAATTATCTTAGATTTGGCCTTGTCTCCCTTATGAGCCTCTGCTTCAATTTCGTTTGCCATTGAATAGTCACAGGATCATAATGAGGTTCAAATTCAACCAAAACCTCTCAAATGTAACCTATTGACTATATTCAATACTCTTTTACATGATTCCTCGTGCATATGAATCCTATTGGAAGCTGAAATTGTGATTTTAGAAAAGAAACAGTCTAAGGGAGTGAGAGAGACTCACCATTGCTAACTTCTCCATACTCCGAGAAGACCTTTCTTAAACGCCCTTCACTCACTGAATCCGGAAGCCCTGTAAAATTTCATTTGAAACGAAACCAAAACGGACTCAATCTCTTATAAATCTAGCTGTGCAAGAACAGTATTCAAAAAGGTGGAGTCGGGTCAGAAATACCCTTCACGAAAACCGACGAGATAGAAGTGGAGAGAGAAGTCGATTCTCTGGTTCCACCGTCTGATATATCTCCGTCGAAGGCGACGCAGCTGATGGTCCGGAGAAGCGAACACGGTTTGCTTCGTGCCGTGTGAAATAACGAAATCAAAGGAAATCTGGGAGTTTCCGTCGTCGGGGAAATACGTATTCTCGGATATTCAGATGTTCCGACGAATTGATGTTTGTGAAACAGATTTTGGGAAGTCGGGAAATAGCTCGAGTGAGACAGTGCCATCTCCGTCGAGCTTGTCGCCGGCGAGAATCCCTTTCAGCTGATGACGAACTTGTTCTTCTGATATTGTCGGCCCATTACACACCTAATAACTTACTGTAGTTTAGTTTGCTTCATTTTCTTCGCTTGATTCATTTGGGCCTAATATGTCGGCCCATTTCACACCTAATAATTTAGGCTTAACTAATGATTCAGGCCTAATATGTCAGCACCCATGTAAAGCCTTCAAAAGTTTTTTATGCAACTTACGTCATCAACAGAAAAACTAACAAACTGGCTCCAACTCTTAAGTTAGCTTATCTTTTCCGGTTTTTTTAAACTTCAAAAACGTCAAAGGTTAGTCATATAGATGTTTTTCAGTTTTCTAAAAAAAAAAAATAATGTTTAGTTGTTTAATTTTTGGTTTGACTGTATAAAACTCTCTTGTTGGTATCAGTTTTTTTTTCCTATCAACTATCGTATAATGATTACATATTTAAGTTAATTGTTGATTGTAATATTTAACAAATTTAAATTTATTCTTTACAACTTTAAGATTATTATTATCAATTCTTAATATATTTTCATTATAACATATCCATTGAAAGAAAAATCTTCTCATTGTAACATATCCGCAATTTTTTTCTCTTCATTACTTTTCAGATAACATATGGGAATATTACAACTAAGAGTTGAAAATGGTGGATGTATTCGTCGAGAAAAATGTACGTTCAATGTAAATAGAACCTAACTAATTATCGCCCAAAAGCCTAAAACTATAGGGAGAAAATCTTGAAAGATTTTGGTTGGCAAAAAAAAATCTTGAAAGATTGAGAAATGACAAATCTTTGGAGATAAGAAACTTAAAACATATATATTAATTTATTAGATATGATATTGTGAAGTTTCGGAATAAACATTACCTAAAAGAACATATTTGGAATATGTTCTTGACTTCTTACTATAACTAATACTTGTAGTTGTATCCCACTATTTGTGCTCTAATTATATTTCCATTTGGTATATAACTGGTGTGTGTGTTAAACAAATAAATAAATTAAATTGACGTAGATGTTAAAATCAACAATAAAAATAAATGACATTTGGACGGCTGATGATCTACTCGTTATACTCTAAAAAGCTTGAGGATTATATACTCCTACATGATACTACATTTCTTTTCGTTTTATTAATTTACAACATACAAAAATTTATAAATCTATCTAATAAATGGTTCTTAAAGAAGAAGAAAAAGAATATATATAATAGATAATCATCAGTTTTATATTTATGTAATAGATAATCATCAGTTTTATATTTATATCACCAATATGTTCAGTTTCATGTTGACAAGTATAATAAAAAAATATAGACATTTCTTGAATCTATTTGGGAGTATCTATTATAGATGCGCTTAATACAATCTCAAATGCTTCTCTAAATAAAAATTTTCCTCAGTCCTCTCGGAAAAAAAATCTTGTAGTAATCGAAAATAAGATTCGTAATTACTATTTAACTACCCTAATTCGCGACGTTTTTTCATAATTATATTACAATAATTGCGTACTTCCATCCAGAGCCGGCGGCCTTGAACGGCATATTTTTGCATTGGCCACAAGTTATAGAGCAAAAAAAAGGTTGTTTTGCATATTTTTTTCAAAAAATGGGCTGTTTTGTTTTCAAATTTTTTTATGTAAAAATAAAAGCCGCAAGTATGAGCTTGATTTGCTTAGGCTCAAGGCCGGCTCTGCTTCCACCAATGCCAAATGAGAATAAAAGATTAGCAACTTGTCTAACACATAAAATTAATCATTAATTAATCATTGCACATATACTTTGTCGTTAAATTTCAAAGGTGATGAGACTAAACTGACTAATGCATGCATCTTTCCAAATATCATTTCTTCGATAAATAATTCGTAAATAAAATATAGCTTTAGTGACTGATATGAAAGTACATAGAAATGGAACATACTTTACTTAGCCTGAACATAACCGAGTTAGTCAAATCACACGATCATTGATAATAAAATACAGAATAAACACATGGATTCACTTGAGAAAATGAAAATAAGTCAAGAATGCCCATTGATATTGAGTTGTTATTCTTTGACGACACGCATTGATACAAAGCTGTAAGATATATAAAGTAATAATTAAATGTTGCAAAAATGCATTATGATCTGAAAAACAGCTTATGGCTCGAATACATCTAACGTGTAGACAATGCTAATAATTGAGGCATTCAAAATTTTAAGCAACTTGCCTATCGCACATTTTGGTCCAATCATAATAAATTTACGAAAATTATACTCTCCAAGAAACGCAATTTAGTTATGAAAAATGACAAAATAGTACTTTGTCTAATGGTAGAAGAATATATACTCACGCGTATTGGTAGGCTATATCTATCGTTAGCAGAACTAACATTTTAGATAATGTATTTCAATACATGCAACTGCTAAAGCATGAAAATTCTATTCATCAAGTCATAATTGATAAGGTATCCATTATAAACCGCCAATATTCAGCTATTTTCTTTCACATGCCAGAAATTACCAATACAATGAACATGCATGTTCCTTCGCATTTGAAATTGGAATATATACAGTCTATTACTTTCTAATTATGCCGCGACAATTGTACATTGCTCTGGCCGAAATTAACAAAACGAGTTTTCTTATGAAGTTTCCTCATCAATCGAAATTCGAAGTCGATCGGATCCAACAACATTGAAATTTGAAACAACAATTTAATTAACCGATTCAACTACGCAAATGTATGGGTGTCACTCTAATCTACTTTTTAAGCGTTAAAATTACTTAAAACAACTAACAAAGTAACAATCTAAGATCTTGAAAAACAGATAATACGACGTAACTATACATACATACATATATATAACTTCACCATGACTACTAATTAATCCCTTTTAAATAAATAAAAACACATAAGCTATATGAAAAATTCCTTAATACTAAACTGTTCCATTCCAACAACAGAGCATTTGAAAAAAAAGAAAAAAAAATATACATTTATTTTCTTATTTTTCATAGTTTGGGTAAGAGATGAGATGGACAGAAGCGGTGCATGGCGGTGGGTAGTGGGCAACACAAGAATCTCCCCTTTTTTAATCACTTCGAATATATCCTTAATACAATATCTTCTTATGGACAAAACCTTATGTAAATTTAGTTATATATTTTTAATTTGTTGATATAATCGCAAATGAAAATCCCAATTGAAAAATACTCGCAATTGAAAATCCTTTTTCGTCCTTTAATGAACAAAGACAATTTATATAACCAAGTAACATAACCACTTCACAGCCGTTTGATTGAATTACTTAACCACATCATGCCACAACTGGGGGACCCAACACAAATCGGACGGCAATCCGCCGTCAAGAAGTGGGGTCGGTGTCCAACAATTTTTTAGTCCGTTGGATCCTTATTCTTTTCTTTTCTTTTGACAAAACCGCGTTGACCAACAACCTCTTTTTGTCTTAACCTAGCCTATCCACCGTATGTTCGTACACTATTCCGCACCAGATCCTACATAGGTAACAACTATACCGGAAACAAAAGGAAAACTGTTAGCATCGCTCCGCGCGTGTACTTCAACTCCCTCAAAACTGATTCCGTTAAACCGTAACACACTAAAAAAAATAATAATAAAAACTCCGACAGCAACCCATCTCGCCACGTGGATTTATCTCCTTCCGACCATTATCGCCACGTGGCATTATTATGGTTCCTTTCTATCTTAAACTTCCCTTTTTCTTCCCATCATGTACATTGATCGTGATGATCGTTCCTTTCTTTTCTCACCGGGAAATCGCCGCCACGGCGGCTGGAAGCGGCGAAACGGTGGCTATTTCCGGTATTAGAATATCTGCGCCGTCCAAATGGTGATCATCTCCGTAGTTAAGAAACCGTTCGACGGCGCGTGCGCTAGGGCGAGCCACCGTGTTCTCCCAAGCCTCTTCGGCTTCTTCTCCTCGCCGGCGAAAAACCTCCGTCGCGTCGACGCGGTGCATATTCCACTTCCACTGCTTGTAAAGCCTCTGAATCTTCTGCCTTTGCCTACACGCAAGCAAACAATTGTTCTCCTTGATTTTCTCGATCGCCGTCTCCAGAAGCCTCTCCGTCGTCTCCGCCGGAGAATTCCGCATCTCCGCCCTAAGAAATTCGTCGAGCTCCGGAACTCCGATCGCACGGCGGATTCCGGCAGAGTAATCCGACGACGACGGATCGAATATGCGGCGAACCTCGTCGACGAGTCCCATCTCAACCATCTTATCGACTCGCTCCGAGACGAACGAGTGTAAAACCGGTCTAGAGACATCGACCCACAAGAAGCAACAATTGTACCTTAACCGAAAGTCAACGCAACCGTTGACCAAAGCCTCGATGTAAGAATTGGAACCACCGGCTATGATCGGGACACGGTCTCTCTCGACGATTGATTCGACGGCTCTGATTGCTTCCCTCTGAAAATCCTCCGCCGTGAAATCGTCGTAGATGTTGTCGACGGTGCCGAGGAGGTGGTGAGGGACGCCTAAGCTTTCCTCGGGAGTGACTTTGTTGGTGACGATGTCGAGACCTTTGTAGACTTGGATCTTGTCGGAGTTAACGATCTCCGCCGGAAAACGAGTGGCTAGGTCGATGGCGAGACGGGATTTTCCAGTTCCGGTGGCTCCCATGACGAAAATGACCTTGTCTTTTCGCCGGAAAAAAGGAACGTCGACCATGTTTAAACCGGCGGATATACCTTGGAAGTTTAACAATGGTTGAATCATCACTTGTCTTAGAGCCGTCATGCATGGCTTCATTCTTATAAAAATTAAACTTCCTCCCTGCTGGATTAATTATGTGTATAAATAAATAAGTATTTTAAGAGATAACTAATTAAAAAGCATAATAACATGCAATAGATTCGTTTGGGGTCATAGAGAGAGACATCGTTCCCGGATAATACTAACCTTGAAGTGGCTTGTTTCCCGGAGCACTGTCTCTTCCCTGTCAATTGATTTTTTTTTTTTTTATAGAATGTTTGATTTTTATACTCAACCTCTCTAATACATGAGGAAGTCGAAATAACGTAAGAAAATGTGAGGAGGAGGCAAGTTCAAGATTCTAAGCTCAAGTGTGATGCTCTCGAACGAAACTATCTTCTAGTTGCTTGCTCTCAACGAGCATATGTTGTGGAGGAAAGATCGGGACTTTGGAATATATAGCTGCCTGAGGTGTGTAACTTTATTTTGTTTATATTTTACAGACACTTGTTCCCTGACACGTGTCTCCTAATGATAGAGATATTCAGCACATCTTCACTGCGAATCATTAGTCACTTTTAATTACAGAGATTTATATGGTTGTGGCGATTATATATGCGATCACAGTTTATATACTTTTAAGTGTGGTTATCATATATAGCTGGTGTCAAAGTTCATGAGTTTTCATTTCAAACCCATTTCTCATTAGAATAGCGGTTTAATTTAGTAATTTATTAACATTCCTATTGCATCCCATCAAGATAATATTTAGAAAACTTACTCATCTTTAACGGAATGGTTGGATTAGACATTATCCTTCGGATTAACACAGGCTTCAATACCATCGTCTCCAAACTAACTGATGATCATAGATATAGTGACATCTATTAGTGATTATTTCCTTTAATAAAAATGGTACGGTTAAATTATTTATGATTATATTTTGTGTATATTAGTGATCATCAATGGTACGAATGCATCAAATGTTATTCATATTTTGTGAATTATAACATATATAACGCATGTTTGATCGGACCTTATCTTTATACATATATAGAAAACTAATTTCAAGGTTAGTGGAATCAACTAAAATTATATTGGTGATGCGGGTTCTGAGCCGAATAAATTATAAGGTCTCGAAGCTTTTTTATTTTTGGCTTTCGGTTTTTAGCCTTTTGCTATTTGGCTTAAATATTCCCGGACACCATTTTTTGTTTTGTTAATTGCCACTAACTCTTCTTATAAAGTTTTCAAAACATACATTTCATGGGTGTTTTGATGTGTAGGGGAGTAAAATATGTAAAACTTATGATGGAAAGTCGATCACATCTATAGGCTCTCAAATTTAGTGCGAGTTTTATCTTTATTTTGATTCTTCTACACAGAAAAGGTAATAATCGTAACTGAAACAACCTAAAATAATCTTTTACACTTCATCTTGATAAGAGAAATATGTCATATAGAATTTATAACTTGCATGTTTGAGAGAGTTCTTATCATTTGACGAACATGGATTATATAATCTTTAACAACAAAAACACATAGATTATATGATCAAGATAGTGGGTTGGACAAAATTTATATTGATTGGACGTTTAGTGTATAAATAAAGATATCATAATGGTTAATTTAACCTCTAACGATAAAATTGATGATGTATAATGTCGTTCAGTTTTAAAAAATAATATTCATCGAATTCAAAAAGACTTATATTTACATGCACGCTTGTTCTATAAACAATTTTCATGTAAGGAAAAAATATTCAATTTTCTATGGCCTCAAAGACCAACCAAAAGCCTTTAAGGTCAGACTTTGAAATCTGAGTCCATTGAGTCATTGACCACGTCGAATTCTTTTTCGTCCCTCACGTGGGTCACCACTATAGAGGCTATATTTTTTTCATCTTGAATTTTATTACAAAGATTAACGGATACATTAGTCGGTTAATAACACGAAACTAACATTAAAGACAAATTCAAAGAGAGAGTCAAAAATCTTTAAGAAATTGGGAGTCTTATAACAAATGTCAAACGCTGAGCTAATAAACAAACGAGTAGACTAAATATCGAAAAGCTGAACTAAAAATTAGAAAAAACGAAAAAACAACCTTTGCAAATTTATTTAAAAACAAATCGACCCACGAGAAGTCAAACCAAACAAATTCTGAAATCGTTAGCTCCTTAGAAACTAGCCAAATTCCTGTCAAATTCATGGAGAATATAGAAAGTAAAATATAACAAAATTCATATATAACTAAAATACAGATGGTCGGTGTGCAAATGTTACGATTAAAATGTTAAGAAATATGACGACAATAAAATGTTAAGTAATGTATCGCAAATAGACAGAAGATTTGTTTGAAGTTTGAACTAAGTGTTTTTGCTATCAAACTGACTAAAAACTACTGTATCTAAAAAAATCCCATTAAAAATCTTATCAGAACTCAATACAAATTTATAATAAACTATATTTTTTAGTTGTTTACAATTCATACGCACATTCGTAAATTTCAAACATTTCATATACCAGCTTCATATATGTGTGTATATATATATATATATATATATATGTGTGTGCGCTAATATATACAACATATATTTTCCACTATTAAATTATGAATATGTATAGTGTGTTAAAGCAATTAAAGTATTGCACAGAATATTCTAAATATGACATGTATGGTCGAAATAGAGTTGACGTAAGGTTGAAATAGACTATAAATGAATTTAATCGGTTGACAAAAAAATAAATTAATACTTCCAAACAGAAGTGGGGCTGGTTAGGAAATATGGTATTATATGGGTGTTAGTAAGCAATTATGAAATACCATAAGAATAAATATTGAATTTAGCTATGGTAGTAATGATATAACGTCAAAAACAGAAGAAAACAAAAAATTATGGTGTAGTTGTAAACTGAAGTATTAAAAATACAAAATGGGTGTAGTCAAATTAAGCTAAAAGAAATGGCTAATGGATTCCTCCACAGAAAAAAAAATATTTAGTTGAACATTTTAACGAATTAAATTATGTTGGCCATAACTTATATGTATTCTTTTATGTTATTTTATCTAATTATAATTAATTTATATGTCTATGTTTAATCGTCCATCATATAAAAAGTTAGCAATCACGAGGTGACAGCAATTTGGGGGATCTATTATTTTTCAACAAAGATAAGAGCAGTGGAATTTGCTTCTTCTTTTTTTTTTTTTTTTGGAATTTGCTTTTCTTTGAAAACAAATTTGTCCGATGCCTTAACTAATCACGAATAACATCGATTGATATTACAAGACGGTAGAGGATAAAAGTTTGATAGTATTGAAAATGAGTTGCTAATTTCTATTGTCATAAAAAAAGGGATTAATTTTTCCTTCAGAAATTTGTCTAAATATTTTAAAACTGCTAAACTTTAAATCTAATCAATTTACTTAAGATATATTATATATGTATTTTTCTATACATCATTTTTTTCTAATATCTGAAAAAATTACTCATCTTAAATCTTTTTTTGTTAACCTTATAAAAATCGTATTTAAATATTCGTTTTAGTTGGCTTAACAGCTAAAACAATGAGTTGAAACTTAGTTGATTTTTTATACTATTTTAATTCGTTACTTAGCATTTTATTCATCCAAGTCACCAACCGTCTTTAGTTCAGAAATGAACTTATAATTAGTTACATTCCGATTGACCGATCGTACAGTTTATTTGACTATATTACACATGTTAATTAGGTTACGGTAATTATTTTCCGTAAGAAACAGACGTCCGTACACTCTTGAAAAAGAAACATAGATTTGACACTCATAGCTTTTTATTCTCTCGGAATTTTCTTTTTTCATAATCTTTAGTTTTGCGTCTTCAGTAGGGGCCTGTTGCCGAGGACTTACCATAACCCTTTATTATTTTTAGAAATAAAATTTGAATTTTATTCGGTTCGACAATAGTAATATTACAACTATAATAAAATCTCTATAAATTAATACTCGATAAATTAATAATTACTATAAATTAATAAATTTCTTTAGTCCCAAATCGGACCAATGTAAAAATTCATCAAATTCGATAAGATAATAAGATAATAATTTTTTTGAAATTCCTTTGTAAAAATATGGTCATAACATAAACATAAATTAATAATTATATAAATTTATGTATATATAGGTAAGATATAATATACTAAAATATGATTAATGCGTTATTTTTTATTTAAATTTGAAATTTTATTGAAAATCATCTCTTTACTTGTTTACATCAATAACTTTTATATAATGTTATTTTTTAATCTTCATTTAAAATTTGTGAAAACTTTAGATAAGATAATTGATTTTTTTACGCATAACTGTTTTGAAATATATTAGGTATTTAAATTTCAGCACCAACGTTAAGGATAATAGCCATAATGTTTTCTAAATTTTGTACTAATAAACATTATATTCTTACATAGATAATTCAGTCCATAATTAACAAATAGAAATAACTATTCTATTGCGACTACTATGATTAGTAATCATAATTTAAGTTTGTACATATCATTTTATAAGCATATGAGTTAAGATTCTTAAATATAACACCAATGAAAGAATTTTTTTTTTAAAATAGGTGAAAAATAAATTTTTCTGTATAAATGAATAATTATTAATTTATAGATAAATTAATATTACGATAAATTAATAAAATATCGTGGTCCCAACATTATTAATTTATAGAGGTTTTACTGTATCAAAGTTATATGGACAAACAAATATTGATAAAAGTTATTAAATTAGAGTGCCCTTTCAAAATTAAAAATGTTATCATGGTCCAAAGTGGAGATAGGGTTTCTCATCTTTTATAACAATTTCTTGGAACCCATTTGGACCCATATATGAAGGCATAAGAATAAATACACATACAAGCAGACAAATTAATTAATAAACACATTAAGAACAGAATGAACAAAATTATAATCATCAAATAGTCCTGAAGAAACTCAACTAGAACTCTCATACATACATTCGTGAATATAAAATATATAAAAAATAAATTTATGGTTCAAAAACTGTAATATCTCTGTTTAAGAAACCTGATATGATTAACTTCAGGAAACAATTTTTTGTGGGTGTCATAACACTAAAATAGGGTTGTATTTCGAGCAAAAAGGAAGTTTACCAAAAAAAAATATCAATCAACATCTGAACTTGCTTGGTTCATTAATCATAATATATGAATCACAACTATGTTTAGACCGAAGCAGAGATTTAACATATTTTAGCGCCAAAATATGTTTTACTGGCGTCTTCTCATAAACTGATGAGTAAGTAATTTTTTAAAACCGATTTATCCTTTTGATGATTCGATTTTTCACCTGATAACAGTTATTCAGTAAAGATAGTGACATTGACATACATAAGTTACAATAAACATTTTATAAGAGACTCAGAGTTTTACGGCGAGACATATCAAACACCCTTATGTATATAATTTACATGACGAGATGATTAGTGACTTTTGTATAAAAAATAGGGAATTTCTATATGTGTAGTCAATTGCAAATGATTAATCGACCACACAATTGCATTAAGACTCATTCCCTCTTTCTTCACTTTTGTAAAACATAAATTACACCCATTGTTTTTGGATTTGATAGAGTATTCGATAATGGACTTTGATATGTACATTATGTACATAGTGAGATTCGGACGCATGTAGCATTTATCTTCACTCCTATTCGAGTTTCAATGAATGTTTTCCATATTATTAAGAAGAGTTGCACATAAAATACAATGGAGTGGCATGTTGGGTTGGATGTATTTTCATGTAAACATCAATTCTGTCAAAAGATAGGCCTAGTTGGCTTTAAGCTTGGCAAGTCTTTTATTGGGCTTTACAAACGGGTTTATTTATACAATTGTAAATATTGGGTGCCAAAACAAATTTTTCTATGGCCTTCTTAATTTCAAAAAAAGAAGGGAACTAAGTCTATCATTCTAACATTTCTGAAGAAAAAAAAAATCGTAACGTTTACCCGTCATACGTGAGATACTACATCTACATGAATGGCTCATGAGAGATTACTAATTGTTTTGTAACGTTTAGTATTGTGATTCATGGCTTTGTAATTATTAGTTGTAAATTCAAAATGTAAGATGAACAAGGACATTTCAAAAAATTACTAATGATGATCTGTTACAATCTAAAGTGTCAAAAAACAACAAAGTTAAATTTACAATCATATTAACTTCGTCATTAGTGGTCGACTCCCATACATCTGCATGATACAAGAGAATATTCTAATTAGATTATGACATAATGAACCATCTAATCATAAGACTTTGAGGAGGAGTAGACTAATTAACGTTACAAAATTAGACACAGATTTATGCAAATTAATAAGGGTGCGACATGTATGCCAACGACTTCCTCCAGCCACGCGGATGACGGCGCGTGCATTTAACTCGCTGAAATTTCATTTCATTTTGTCTCGAAACGAATCTGAAACCGCCACACACAGTCGCCAGATTTCTCCTCCTCCTCTCTTAAGTCTCCGTGAAGCCGAATATGTCTCTCTCGATGCCCTCTTCTTCCGCTGCTGCTGCTGCTGCTGCTGCTGCCGCGTCAACATCGGGGTCATCGTCTTCTTCGGCGACCGCTTCGTCGTCCTCCACGACCACGTCCTGGTTCTCCGGAATCGTTCGCGGCCGCGGTGATAAATCCGGCAACGCGAAGCTTTCGAAAAGCGCTTCCATGGCGGGAGGCGGAAGCGGGGATTACGGTGGACCAATTAAAGGGAAGAACCAATTTCGCGGAGTTTTGTTCAAATACGGTCCCAAACCCATTCAGGTTCCTTTAGATTCCGATTACTTAATTTTGCGTTGCTTTTGAGTTACTTCGAAGCAACAAGGTGGAAATTCTGTTAATAAAACTATCATTTTCTGATTCCGGGTTGGCTTAAACTTTAAAGTAGCTTCTTTTGGATTTCTAAATATTTTTTAAATTTGTGTTTGTTATATGCTTCGTGACAGTTTTAGCAAACGGTTGTGTTATGTCAAGCTTGTTTCCTAACTTTGACTTTTTTTGCTACCTGTTGTAAATTGATTCCTTGTTTGCTGATCATGTTAAGATTCCTTGGAGATTTGTTGAATTGTTGAGGAAAAGCAATGAAATTTTAGGTAATTTAGGTCAACGTTCCAAGCCGTGTGAGATTTCGATTTCGGATTTTGCATCAATTGATATGATTTTAGTTGACCACTTATAACAGCAGTGATCAAATATGGCTCCTTTATGACCATCCAGAATGATTCTTGCATAAGCTCTGCAGATTCTTGTTTGTGAATTTTCATGGCAACTGGTTTTCTAGGTTAGATTCTGGTAGTAACAGCTTGCTTGTCTGTTTCACATGTCTCTGCAGGTGGCTTTTAAGACCGGAGAGTATAAACAACAAGTGATATTTATCGGTGGGTTAACCGATGGACTTTTAGCTACTGAGTATGCGTCCTCTTCCTTTGCTCTAACTATTTATCTTTTGGCATAAATTTGGCAGTGTTGTCTTCTTCCTCCCAGTTGTTTCCGCTGATTGTAGATGCTGGTTGTCTTCCATAAGCTTGCTGCTACCCTATTAAATCTCGTTCTTTGTCATGTATATTGACTGATAGAACATTCACAAATTGGCCGTTACAGTTACTTGGAGCCTCTGGCAATTGCTTTGGATAAAGAGAAATGGTCACTTGTTCAACTACTGATGTCGTCTTCATATTCTGGATTCGGCACTTCCAGCTTGAAACAAGTAAGAGTTGGTTTGTTTGTCAACTGATATGGATTTCATCTTGCCTTGTAATATTGGTAGACTATGGGGGAAGACTATGAATTTCTCCAGTCAGCAGTTTACTTAGCATGATATTTCTTGTTCTTTTTGATGAAGGATGCGCAAGAGATCGACCAACTTATAAGCTATCTCATCAACAAAGAGAACTCCGAGGGCGTTGTTCTGCTTGGTCATAGCACTGGCTGCCAGGTGATTGGTTAATTCCTCAAAAAAATTCTGTGATGTTCTTAAAGAACAGTTGTGACAGTAACTCCTTCTCTCTCGTTGAAACAGGACATTGTGTACTATATGGGAACAAATGCTGCATGCTCTCGAGCTGTCCGAGCTGCAATTTTGCAGGTGCTAGCTCTAGATTATTTGACTTGTATTTTTCGTTTTTCTCTTAAAGCTATGCTCAGTCTTATGTGAAAGGCCTTGAGATGGATCTTGTGTTATGTGCGATATGTTTTGAATTTAGTGTAGCTTTGATCGTATTGGCTACTGCAATGTTTACTTAGGCACCTGTCAGCGATAGAGAGTACAAAGCCACACTTCCTGAAACACCAACTATGATTGACTTGGCTGCAAACATGATAAAAGAAGGCCGAGCAGAGGAGCTAATGCCTAGAGAAGCTGATCCTTGTGCTCCAATCTCTGCTTATAGGTAAATAGCTATTTCATTGTACTATAATCGCAGCCTTGAAAAATGGAAAAGTTGTTTTGAACATGTCTGAATACAAAATCCGATCTTTTGCTTTGCTTCCTGCAGATACCACTCCCTCTGCGCATACATGGGGGATGATGATATGTTTAGTTCTGACCTTAGTGATGATCAGTTGAAAACTAGACTTGGGCATATGGCCAACACACCTTGTCAGGTAAAAAACAAAACTAAACATCACGAACATTTCTAGTCCCTGTGAACATAATTGTTGGCCACTTGGGCACTGGCTAGTTTCTTATATTCTCTTATGTTTTGGTTCTACACAGGTGATTTTCTCCATGGGTGATGAGTATGTACCGGATTATGTCGACAAAAAAGCACTGGTTAATAGGTGAGGCCTCTTCTGTTTATCTCATATCTGTTTGGAATTTAAGTTATATAGGTATATATAGAGAATTATAATGCAAGTTTTGGATCAAAATGATCTAAAAATGATTGTAAATGGATGGCCAAATAAAAAAAGATTGATTTGATATCTGTGATTATAGATTAAGTAAAGCAATGGGAGGAGCAGAGAAAGTGGAGATAGAGCATGGGAATCACTCTCTCTCCAATAGAGTTCATGAAGCTGTTCAAGCCATTATTGGTTTTGTCAAAAGAGAAGGACCCAGTGGCTGGGATGATCCTTGGAGCTAAATCTGCTTTTTTCCATTTTATGTGGATGAAAATTATCCAAATCTCAATCTTATGAATTTTTAACTTCACTTCTTGGCTGATTCGTAATCATCTCTCCTTGCGAGTAAAGAAAAATGATTTTTTTGTTCTCTTTTTATTTTTTATTCTGGTATATACTTGAATCATAGAAAAAAAGTTATATTCTTGTTATATAATCCTCAGTTTCTTTTGTTGCTTTGTTTTGTCTTTAACCAACATTGATTTCTTGTTAAATAATCTTCGATATGTCTCCTCTAGCTGACTCCAAAATCTAAGAATTATATGCCGAACTCAAAATTTTCACCTCAATGATTGAAGTTGAACATAGACATCTTTGTGTTTTACAAGAACAGATTAAAGATGAACTAATAAATGTTCAAGTTCTGCTTGAACAGGAGGCTCGATGAACATGAAAGATCTGATAGATGATAAAAGGTAAAAGGTAGATGATAGAACATAAAAAAAAAGTTATTACCAAACTATCACCAAAATGATCATGAAAATTCCCAAAGTGTCGCTAAAGAGTTGATGAATTCCACTTTACCAAGCTACCAAACTTTTGTCGGTTTTTATTTCGTTATTCGCTAAAATAGTGAAACTTGCGATTTACAAATTTCCCCTACTAAAACCGAAATAGAAAGATAACAAAAAAACCCCAGATTCGAAACCAAATCATTAACCGGATTTTCCACCGCAACATTACTCGGGTTTCTATAAACCGGATCACCGCTGTATACGACGAATTCATTATTTTAACGGTCAATAACCGTAATACACCCAACGTCACGCCGACGCGACTTCTGATGGCGCAGTCACCGATTTGGGGCCAATGGTAATTTCGGCTGTCTCACGGGTGTATATTCGTCTACACAGAAATGGTCAGATCTTACTCTTCCGCCTTTTGGCAGTCCACGTGGGGTTCAAAGAATTTTCCTACAGACCAACCTCTAAATTCTCACCTAATTGCATATGGAATTATCGAGATGATGAAAAGTTCTTGAAATTTTAGGAGGAATTGAAACTTATAAGAAGAAGAAGAAGAAACTAATTTTCCTCTAGGGTTCGGCAGAAGAATCATACTTTTGGTCTACAAGTTGGAGAATATCGAGTGATTATCTTATTCACTTAGATTTGTCCAACGACAAAGAAAAAAAGAAGCAGCCTTTACTTGGAAAATTAAAAAGAAAAAGGTCCTTACTTGGAATTCGCTGTGTCGTCAAATTGATTTCTTTCCTATTGTCATCTTCTTCATTATCTTTTGGGTTTCCCATATTTTCTTACTTTGAGTATCCATCCCCTTTCTTCAGATGCCGGGGAAAGGAGTGATCCCGTCACCGGCGCTGAGCCAAGTGATGAATAATCACCGTCTAAGTCCTCTGCATCAATGGAGATTCGGCGCTCTAACATCCCTCGTTTTCTTCCTCATGATTCTCCTCTGGAGCATCGACGGTTGTACTATCAAAAGCTTCGTAGAGTCATGGAGACTCAACGCTTACTCCATGCGAGTCACTGCCTCTTCTTCTTCTTCATTGAAACCGAAAACCCCTTCTCTGGATCTGGATACGACTCGAGTGAAGTTCGACTGGATCTCCGTCGAGATGGAGCAGAATTTCACGGCGAATCTCCTGAGAAATTGGTTGGCTCCGGGAGGAGACAACTGCAGAGAAGCAAAGACCGTCGAGATTTTCGTTCCGAGCATCGACGGGAAGGATTCCGTGGAATTGACGGCTGGTAAGATCCACGAATTCAGTTTTCAATCCGTAGACGAATCTGGAAAACCGGTCTGCATCGGTGGCGATTACTTCGAGACTGATCTTTCCGGCGAAAACTGGAAATCGAGACCTCCGGTGAAGGATTTAAACAACGGCACTTACTCTTTCTCACTTCAGATTCATCCCGATTTCGCCGGAGATTACAATCTCACCGTCGTTTTGCTCTTCCGTCACTTCCAAGGCCTCAAACTCAGCCCCGCGCGCTTCGCCTTCGACAGAGAGCTACGCAGATTCAAACTACGCTTCGTCAAGAAACCCGACGTCGTTTTGCCTGAGCTCCGGAAATGCGACCGGTCCGATTTCGTCAGAAACGTCTGGTCCGGCCGGTGGACCAGGCTCGTTAAGAACGACAAGTGCGTAATCAGCTACGACGGGCGTTACCGTTGCCTAGCCGCTGATTTCCCTTGCCGGAAACCATGGTGCGACGGAGCATTAGCTGGATTAGAGAGCAACGGTTGGGTTTACTCGAGCCATTGCTCATTCAAGCTCTTCTCCGGCGATTCGGCTTGGGATTGCTTGAAGAACAAATGGATTTTCTTCTGGGGAGACTCGAATCATGTCGATTCGATCAGAAACTTGCTGAATTTCGTCTTGGGTCATCCGGAGATCACCTCCGTCGCAAGGAGATTCGATCTGAAGTTCTCGAATCCGAAAAACTCGTCGGAAAGCGTTAGGATCACGAGTGTCTTCAACGGACATTGGAACGAGACCCAAAACTATCAAGGTCTTGACTCGCTTAAAGATCACGGCTTTAGAGAGTTGCTTAGAAGCTACTTCGCCGAAGAAAACGGCGTTCCCGACGCGATGGTTGTTAACTCGGGCCTCCACGACGGCGTTCACTGGTCTAACCTCAGAGCGTTTGCGAAAGGAGCGAAAACCGCGGCTGCGTTCTGGAGAAACGTTTTCGACTCGGTGAAAAGCCGGCGACTTCGACCGCCGGAGGTGGTTTTTAGGAACACGATCGCGACGGGCGGTTACGCGAGGACGCTGGCGTTTAACCCGAGCAAGATGGAAGTGTACAATGGAGTGTTTTTGGAGAAGATGAAGGAACTTGGGCTGGTCTCGGGTGTGATTGATAACTTTGATATGACGTATCCGTGGCATTATGATAACCGGTGTAACGACGGGGTTCATTACGGAAGAGCTCCGGCGAAGATGCGGTGGAGAGACGGCGAGATTGGGCATCAGTACTTTGTTGATCTGATGCTTGTTCATGTGTTGTTAAATGCATTGTGTGTGAGATAAATAAGTAGAGAGATTCTTTTAGTATGATTAGGTGTTAGGAGTTAGGAATCACGATTCTTTTATTTAGGATAAGTAGGAAGAGTCATAATCTTCTTCTTTACCCAAAACAGAGGAGTGATTGGAGGAGATACATATTACGAGCTAAAACAGAGGCGTGTGAATGGATTTCATGCTGCCAAAACCTGGTGGTCGAAGATCAAATTGGTCACAGCCAAAATTTGCTTTTGTTAAGTGTAATGGCAATCTTTCTAAAATAACATGGATAATATGAGATTTCAGTGGAGTATACCTTGAAGCGACTCAGAGTGTTGGTACAAAATGTCACATTCAGGCATTAGAGGCAGAAGTTTCAAGCTTTACTAATGGCTTTACGACAGGTTTGGATCAAAGGCTATCAACATGTCATTTTCGAAGGGAGGTGATTGCATAACTTATCAGTGGGGAAATCTTGAATTTCAAACTCCATAATGAAATTAGGATTTGGATGGAGAGAGTTGGAAAATGTGAAGTTCTGTGTACTCCCCGGAATTGCTACGAAGCCGCTGATAAGCCTGTAAAAGAGTTTTCTTAAAACTCAACTTTTGTATCTTACTTTTTATGTTCCATCATATCTTGTGACAATCCTCCATGAGGTAAATATTGTTTCTGATTACTGGAATTTAGATAATGTTAAAAAAAAAAAAAAAAAACTGACCAATACTAAAATCGTTGACTATCATACGGTGTGGTTTAGCCCGCGATTAGTAAATCAAAAATAGTCATAGACCGTGACGATTAATGTCTAGTTTACTTAAACTTAAATTACCAAGTACTTTGAACATTCATTATTCTCATAAATACATTGCGCTATTCAATTTCATTATTCTTCTTCATTTTTTTGTCAAAACAATCTCTTATTTTTTCAATGTCATTGTTTATGGAGTAGTTTGTAAACTTGCCAAACTCCGGATATTCGGTTTTTATTATTTTTTTTTAAAACATCTTAGTTATATCATTAGTTATATCATTATATGGGATATATTTTGTTTTTTTGGGTAAAATATGGGATACATACATATACTCTCTTTATAATTTGTAAAAAATAAAATAGAAGCCAGGTATCGAAGAGAGAGAGAGAGTAAAATGTCAAGATTTTCATTTTTTAAAAATCAAACAAATATAGTATTGTGATAAACTTTTAGATATTATCAAGAAATCTTTTTTTTATGTATCAAAACCTATTAACTATTAAGGACGGCCCGTAAGTCGGTACGCGGTTTATTGTAACCAGTCACAGTTCATATATGCTTAATTATGCTCTCACGCTAAAGATGGAGTCTGCAAACCAAATCAACAATTGAATCTCCTCCTTCACGAAACCTCCAATCCAATTAAATCTCTATCCTTTTTCGGTTTCGGATTACATTATCTCCACGGCAAGCGCCATAGGCAATCTTCGCCCTTAAGGTTTCAGGGGAATTCTCTTTGCTTTGCTTCTCAGAGAACAATCCATCGATCCGGCAGCGCCGTGAAAGAGTCACCGGAGGCGATTTTGCGTCGTAAGATCGCCGTTTATGGCGTTTACGTGGGGATCTGCTCTCCGGGTTTCCGTACTTTTGATCCTTGTAGCTGCAATTGTCTTAGCTTGCTATTTTCTCCCCGTCGAGCAGGTCCTTTTCCGTTTATAACCTCGTAATTGGCGGAATTAGAGTTTCCGTTGTGGCTCTCTGGGATGGGTTTTGGTTGGTGTGGGATGATTTCTGGAAATTCGTATGCTTTTCTTTGAATTTCTGGTGAATGTGGGTCATAGCAATGAAAATTTGAGCTTTTTTATCATGTGAAAGATAAATTTTGACCCTTTGCATAGGATTTATGAGCAAGATGCTAAAATGATTTTCAAATTTTAGAAAAGCAAATGCTGCGTGTTGATCTCTGGATTAATTGTTCCCTTCTGAATTCCTGTCATTTCGAAGAAGTGATTTAAAGCATCAGCTATGATCTGAAACTTATTCTTATGATTTTGTTGTAATCATTTCAATTTTAGATTCAAATTAGTGTTCTGTAACAGAGAAAGTCACAAGTGATATATTATTGATCTGTTTCTTTGTATTTTCAGCTTTTGAAGGATTTTTTGTTATGGGTTGAACAAGATCTAGGTCCTTGGGGACCTTTTGCCCTGTAAGTGTCACTTCTTCCTGTCTCTTGAGCTATGAATTTGATTATATTCTTGTGTGAATCGTAGCAATGAGCTAACACTAACTGCGGTAGCTTTACCTCTGTTTCATTACCAGTGTTTACCCATTGATTGGGAAGCCTTTGCACATAAAACTTACTGAACTTCTCTTTCTTCTGAAATATGTACAGAGCTGTTGCGTACATTCCTTTAACAGTTTTGGCTGTTCCTGCCTCGGTTCTAACGGTATATAAACCAGTACCTATTTATCTTTTGTGTGATATTCACGGGTATCATCCACTCTCAACCTTCTTTGTGAGAGTGACAGGTTTTATCTATCAAATTGAGAAATCTTATTTGGTTGAAGCTGTGATGTTCAGATCGGTGGTGGCTACCTTTTTGGGCTGCCAATTGGTTTTGTGGCTGATTCGGTCGGTGCTACACTTGGCTCAGGAGCAGCATTCCTTCTAGGCCGTACTGTAAGTGTCTCAATTGTAGTTAAAAGATTTGGAGACTAATGCTATCCTTTTTTTTTGTTTTTTTTTTTGGTACTTACATGATAAATGCTCTTATGCAGATTGGAAAACCTTTTGTAGTTGCAAAATTGAAGGATTATCCTCAGTTTCAGTCAGTGGCACTTGCAATTGAGAAATCCGGTTTCAAGGTTTGCTCTGAAAACTTACACAAGTTTTAATCTTTTCTTTTTCTTTTTGTGCTGACAGTCTGTTTTTGAAACTTATGAATATGCACAAAAAAAAAATGAATATAGATATGCTTGCTGCTCCGGCTTGCTCCTCTTCTTCCCTTCAGCATGTTGAACTACCTCTTATCTGTAACGCCAATTCCGCTGGGGCCATACTTGCTTTCTTCTTGGTTAGGGATGATGGTAATCTAATCTAATCCACCTCTCAATGTCCTTTGTAAGATTTTTAATAGTAAGATCAAAAGATTATAGCTTGATACATTGTTAATTCGCAGCCAATAACGCTTGCGTTAGTGTATGTTGGAACAACTCTAAAAGACCTTTCTGATGTGACTCACAAGTGGAGTGAATTCTCGCTAAGTCGTTGGGTAAGATTTGCTCGTACAATGAAACTACATTCTCAGCTTCTTGTTTCAATCTCTTTTCTCAACCCGTGTTTGGTTCATTTGCAGGCTTTCTTGATTTCAAGCCTTGTAATATCCGGTTGGTTCGAAAGTTCCTAGAATTCATTTTCCATCTTAATAGAATCTTTGTGAAACTGCAAATGCACCGAAACACCTAATGCTTCTCTTGCCTTCTTGTATCTGTTTCTTTGCAGTGATATTAATGGTCTGTGTTACCAAGGTGGCACAGAACGCTCTGAGAAAAGCTTTAGCTGAGCACGGAGGAGACATGAACGGAGCGGTTGCAGCGTCGCCGGAGCTGAACGTTACGTCTGATGACGCTCCGGCGGATTTAAATGAGCCTCTATTAATAAAGATAGATTCTCAACAACCACCTCAGGACCAAGAAAACCGTAGTCATTAAAGAAGCTACTGGTTAATTACTTTGTACAATAATATTTTTTTATCTTTTAACTTACAAAGCTTAGGTTCTTTGGGCAAAAGAGTCAGCCGTTAATGCACAGATGATATATATCGCTGTAGTTTTTCGTTTTCTTGGTTTTTGTTTGTATAATAACATAGATTAATAAATTATTTTAAAAAAAAAATTCTTCGTCCCTAAGTTTGAGATATTTGTTGACACCTACAATTTATTGGAAACATTCTATACATAAACATATATCACGACTGAAATTCAATAATGGTACACATTAACTATGGTATATATATATATATGTAGTAGTTGAATTTTTCTATATAAATAGATTTCTATCTCATGGAAAAATATGGATCTTCGAAAGCGTAACGTAGTTTAATACTAGATTTTAACAAAAAAAACTTGGCATGTCTCTTTCATTAATAGAAGAACTTTTTTTTTTTTTAGCAAACTATAGAAGAACTAATATAAGAAATAAACGGTCAAGTCTCTTATAGAAACATTCGTTATAAAAAAAATTTGGGAAAAAGACAAAATTTTGAATGCCAAATTGATCGAGAAAATAAATTATTTTGAAAGATTAAAATCTCTCTAGTCAAAAATTACACGCGTTGACTTTTAATTGTTTCAGGTACCAAGAGAACTGGCAGTAAATCTGGCGGGTAGATATTGATTATTGACAAAGTAAACATGTATATTTCCCGCGGTTAAAAAAGGAAATCGAAATCGTCAAAAAAATCTTCGATCTGACTTTTTTTTTTTTTTGGTCTCTCCAAATCTCTTCTGTTCATTCGTCTTTCTGTCTTGTCTGAGCAACAAGTTGTCTCTTTCTTCAGCTATGGGGATCTCCTTCAGCAACCGTCGACGAGACAATTACCACCGTCGCCACCACAATCACCTTCCTCCTCCTCCTCCTCCGCCGCACTATTACTCCGATCCTCCCTCACAACCGCCGCCTCAACCACCGCACAACGAGTACAGCTACACTCAGAACCACCTCGTATCAACTCCACAGCTCTCTCTTCCTCCTCCACAACCGTCTCAGCCACCATCTCATCCTCCGCCGAATATTAATTACGGAGCCTACGGTCATAGCTATAATCAAAACCAGTATTACCCACCACAACAGCCTCCTCCGTATTACTCCGGTTATCATCACAATGGGTGGAATCAGATGATGAGACCGGTTCACTTCGGTCCGCCTCCGGTTAATCAAGCGCCTCCGCCGTACGCGAGCGCGAAGAAGGTTAGGAATGATGTCAATGTGCATAAAGACACGGTGAGGCTCGAAGCAGACGATCTAAACCCTGGCCATCATCTAGTTTCCTTCGTCTTCGATGCCGTATTCGATGGCAGGTATATATTCACAACTCACTCCAAAACCAAAACCTTTGTTTGCTTCCGGAATTTGGTGACGAGATTGGCTGATTAGGGTAGGAGGGCACTTGTAAAAATTATACTGAATCTGAATTTTGGATCATAAAAGGTTCAAACTTTACATGATGTGACTCAAATGTTTTAATTTAATTTACTGGTTTTTCATTTGGATCATTTTGGTTCAAGCAATCCTAAGGTGAGTGAATTTCGGAATATTAGAACCCAAATTGGACGAAGTAGCCTAGAGGGAATTTATGATTCATATCCAAATTATATAAACCAGATTTTTTGGATTAAAAAAGGTTAAATTGTTACATGATCTAGCTGATGGGTATGTGATTACATGTTATATTGTTTAAGAAACCACGCCTGTACATTTCTGTATATCGATGCGGATTTTGCATCAAGAACATAATTCATTTAACGAATCTCTATAGGAGTGATGTAAAAGACTCACTTATTAACAAATAGCATTGAATGTTCTTAGCTATATATCGTATAATTTGAAGTTAAATTGTATGTTTTGTTATGAACGTTATTAACTATGTTTCTTGTGTTATTTTAGTTTCAATATCATATTTTTTGCAAAGGAGGAACCGAACTGCACAATGGTGCCGCATTTTCCAGAAGCTTTCCCACCAACCAAAGTCCCTTTCAAAAAAGGTACAGCACAGAAGTTTCTACAACCATCAGGGACAGGAACGGACCTGGGCTTCTTTTCACTGGACGATCTATCAAAACCATCACCAGAAGATATATACCCACTTGTAATATCAGCTGAGATAGTAATCTCACCAAGCTCTGTTTCTGAGGAATCATTAGTTCATAAGCAAATCACACAAGCTGGTTTGGAGAAGACTAATGATGGATCTTTCAAAGTGAAAGTCATGAATCAGATCCTATGGATTGAAGGAGTTCGATATGAACTACGTGGTGAGCTGTATGGAATCGATAACTCAACCACTCAAGGTAGTGTTGCCTCAGGCTTAGAGGATACCGGTGGCAAAGAATGTGTTATTTGCTTGACTGAACCTAAGGACACCATCGTCATGCCTTGTAGACATTTGGTAAAAGTTTCTAGCTATTCTCTTTGCTTTTTTTTGTTTTCTCTTAAATCGTTTGCAAACTCTTAGATATGAACAAGCAACTTCTGTAATTAGACTTACTTCACATTGATGTTAATTGTCTCTGAAGCCAATCTTATACCAAATCTTTCATAAGAACATAATTTTTTGGTTGAATTGTTCATAAGATTAAACCATGTTGTGTTGTCACTTTGCAGTGTTTGTGCAGCGAATGTGCGAAAGAACTAAGGTTTCAGTCAAACAAATGTCCTATTTGTCGACAAGCTATCAAAGAGCTTTTAGAGGTTGAAGTTGGGATTACTGAACACTAAAGTAGAGGTTTCTTCTTTTCACTTAAACACCATGTTTGATTCCTTTTATTAGAACCTTGAAGTCGAATACTTTTGCCTTTTTTATTAACATGGTATGCGTTTTTTCGTTTCATGCTCTGCACAGATTTGTTGGTCGTTATGTCAGAAGTTTGAAAGATTATAAACATCAGTAATGTATATAATGGTTCTGAAGAAGCTCTCTTGTTTCTTTCTGCTTGGAACACTCATCAATCAAATTCTTTGATTTCTTTTATATATTTTTTTTTTGCTAATCGCTCGAACATAACTTTCAACCATCTGTTGTTTATTGAGTTATAAGTTAGAAACTGAACTTCATAGTAACCTAAATAAATACTTTGTTCAACAGACGGGAAATATCTGCAATAGTTTAGATAGCTCTACGTGAACCTCACTTTTGTTTTCCTTCAAACTCTTTGTTCTTTTTTAGAAAGTACAATGCTCGTGTAGAAGTCATAAATGGGGACCTTGATCATTACAGAGGTTCAAAAGAAAATAAAGCGAGATGGAACTGAAGTTTAAGAAGAACATTCAAAGAAGTAACCTTTTCTTTTTTCTCTCTTTTTTTGCTTTTTGTTTGCTTTTTGTCTATAAAAAAGGCTAATAAAGAAAAGGAAAAGCTTGTTGATGGAGAATGTTTCCTATTGAAGTTAAGCCTGAATGAAAAAAGTTTATTTAAAAAAAAAAAAGTGAATCTGTGTTCATTCTTTTGACAGAATGTTATAACTTTTGAATTGAGGAAGATACAAAGAGAAAAGGTCTTCATCTGATTGTAGTTAAGTGACTCTCTTCACAAGCAAAATTATTTTTCCATATACATTGGTTCCAGGTGGTATCTAGTGTATCCTCGTATATCTAGACATCATATTCCTTTGATATATATATATATATATATGTATATTAAGAAAAAGAATTGAAATTGTTTCTTACTTTTCTTAAAACCACAATATTTGGTTTCTTATTGAAAAATTGATAACCGTGAATACAAACGGGAAAAATGCATGCATGTGCTACGTGTTTGCGTTTATAATTTGTAAAAAACAAATTGATACGAACAAAAACAAAGTTCAAAAAATTAAAATATTGTTTTTTATTTATAATACAAACATACACGCAACGCAAACATACAATTTTGAAGTTTTGAACATTAAAGCCCTAAGTCTATGTGTGGTTGTCTTTGTCTTGTTTTGGAATATTTATTGAGTGTAAAAGATATTTTCCCCCTTTTTCCTATGACAATGTTTACTAGTCATACCATGATGTTTAATCAAAAATCTTACAAAACCTCATTTATATATCACCTGTCTCCATGTATATCCCTCTACGTATATTTTTCTCAGATTCATATATATTCTATTTTAGACCAACCTTCTGGTATAGCTTTTTCTCGGATTTGACTTCTAAGGTCCATCAATGGATATGGTTCTACAAGAAGTTTAAGTTTAGGTACCTCGACAATTGTAGCCCATTAGCCACTAGGAAAACTGAATGTGGTTGCTCAACGGAATATTTAGCAATGCCAATGAACCAAGCGAGATTAGTTTTGACTTTGAGTATAGCTACAGATATTAAGTACAAGATAAATCTGCTAAATGGATAAGAATCTAGGTACTACCGTCAAAGATAATATCATTTGCGTCAGTTCACACTGTTCGAGTTTCAAACATACATAATCAAGTTTTATTGTTAACACTGTCAACTGTCGACTAAATATGGATTAATAGCTAATAGGTATAACATTTTCCACGCTAGGATATAACAATTCAAGTCCCAAACGTATTGTGTTTGAGAAAGGAAAAAAAAAAAAAACGAATCCAAAGGAAAAGATGGTAACAAGAGGAGAGAATAGGGACAAAAACTCCAATTAATGTCACTTTGTCAATAAGAAGAAGATGACCCCATGTGAACATTGGAGACTCATGTGACTCAGTTCTATCATTTCAGGCAAAAAATCAGCTACAAGTTTTATTGCAATCAACCAAATATTATTCAAATGTACTTGCTAGATTAGTCGATCAAAATGAAGTTTTATCTTGTCAGATTCCAGTTTGGTTTCTTTAAATCACATATATATTGTCAAATTTCCATTGCAAAAATGTATAAACGAAAAATCTAATGTGATAAAAAACTTAATTATATATTATTTTTTGTATCTTTGGGTCTATAGCAGACTTCTAAATTAGTTTTAGAAATTAATATCATGTGAGTTTTAAAGCTATTGTTTAGTATCGATTTATAACTTGGACAGGCAAGATAAAATCTATTCGTCCTTCAACACGATTTGTAAATTATAACTTATAAGTATACGTGTACCCAAGAAAACTTCAAATAATTCAATAATGCAGCAAATTTATGGAATCATTCCTGAACCATAGTAAAAATTTATCATAAATGTCAATATTGTACCATGTCCTTTCGTTATAAAAGACTTGGACTATATTATACAATAGATATATGAGTTAACGTTTCTCTTGTCCTATCTTACAAAACTACAAATTAAGTTTCATCGATATATATGGCGATGAAAATATCTACTATATTTTTTACGAGTAACGAATTTTAATTGTCCTTTTTTTGGCTCTAACACCCATAATTATTAGGACCTAACATGCTTGTACCTCGTCCGTTGTTTGTTAAATAAGAAAATCGTCGGACATTTGCACACAAAAAAATATCGTCGAGGCGTGAACAACGTTGATCCACCTAACAAAAAGGTTTATGAATAATTTGTGTGTCAATGCATTTGATATTTATCAATTGTAAAAGCTCGATTTGAGATTTTACTATTTACATTCTCTTTGTCATTTCCCATTTGACATAAAACTTTGCGGAAATCTGTATACCATCAGTGAGAAAATAAAAGCATGCACTATACAAATTTAGAAAAAATATCTTACAAAATAGATTTTGTTGGATTCTCAATTATAAGCTAATAGTATATTACCAACGCCTTTATTCTTAACAACTCACACAGCACATGAATAAGCTTATAAGCATAACCGATGTCGAAAAAGAAAAGAAAAAAAACTCAACCAACATAATAGTCACAATGTAGTATAAATAGTTGATATGGAGTTCCAGAATACAGAAACCTCCTGAGATTTGTATATTTTTGTATGCATGTGTCTGGTTCTCCTTATTTCTTCACTAATTTGACAGTACAGCTGTGAATTTCGATTTTTGATATTTCTTTTTCGTCTAACAGTATACTTATAGTATAGTTTGAATAAAAAGCCAAAAGGAAATCTAAAATACGATGGGGAGAGGAGAGTGTTTCGTTTTTTTTTTTCAACAGTATTTCATGCTAAGTTTACATTATTTAGGCTTTTGAGACAAAGGGCAATAATGATAAATGCGTACACGAAAAGTGTCTAAAGTTGGATTTAAATACATGAAAATTAAGAGAAACTGATGCGGCCCAAAACGTGATTATGTTCACTCGTAAGGTTGAGGTTTTCATCATTTACCCAACCCCACCTTTTTCTCCTTTATTTTTTTTGTTTTTTCCACTTTTTCAGTTATTATTAATTTTTTATAACAGTCTTTTTAGCATTATATATAAGGTTAATCTCTGTATTTTGAACAATCATATTCTTATAACCAAATTTCTCTTAACACGTCTCTTTCTTTTAACCATTTTTGTCATGTTTCCGCCTACTTAGTCCTGTTGTTTTAATTCCAACTTCTACTAAATTTATGACACTCGATTATTTAAAAAAAAAAACTCGACAAAGGGTAAAAAATCATGGACAGTTGGATTCAATTATTTGTGACCTTTACAAATGTAGCGCTGAATATCTATTCTATTAAAACAGAAACACATTTAGTGCTTGCATCCAAACACTTCCAAAATTTTTTTAATAATATTTTATTTTATTTTTATATTTAATTTCGGAAAATTAGTTATTAATTTTTTTAGATTTCTTAAAATCTATGTCATCTTTAATTTAAATTTCAAATTATTAAAAATTTAATTAAATTTAGTTACAAAAATTTGCATTAAATTTAATTTAAATTCAAAAAATTCAAAAAAATTATAATTAAATTTTATTACAAAAATTTAGATAATAATTTTAATACTTTAGAATTTCTTAAATACAGGAAAGATTTAATTTAAAATTTTGAATTTAAATAATATTTTTATAAAAATGCATAGTAAATAAATATTTTATCGTATTTATCATAAACAATCGGTCTAAAATATCAAATATTTGAGATTAATAAATATTTATATTATACAATAATATGATCGAGGTGATTAGAGTTATATATTTAAGGTTCATGAGTTAAGTTATTAAAACATGTAAGATATTAAGATGATTTGAGATAATTAAACTAACATGTTAGTCCGTTTTATATATATACACATTTTTTAATAGCACAAATAGTAAATAAATATCTTATTATATCATAATCAATTGGTCCAAATATTCCATATTAATAAATATTTATAGGATTATACAATTATAATTATAGTCTTATACGGATTAATTTGTCAAAACATGTAAGATATTAAAAATGATTTAAGACAACTAAACGGATGGATTAGCAAATTCATAGATATATAGATTGTTTATGTGTAAATCTAAATTTACATAATAACAAAGTTTATAATTAACATTAGAACAATGTATATTTAATTAACGTATACTCTTATTCTACTAATATACAAATTTTACTGTTTAAAATTAAAATATGATAATAATTTTTTAATTTAAAAAAAAAAATAAATAACAAAAATAAATTATATCTAAACAAAAAAGATAAATGTAACTTATATTAGAAATAAAAAATAAAACATTCCTGTGCGGACGCACGGGGTTAAAATCTAGTTTGTAGTTAAATAGTACACTTAATTTAGTTTGTACAATTAGTTTCTAATGCTTATTTCCTTTTCAAAATAAACAGTTTGACATAAATTTGATGTAAAACCGTTACTGGTCTTATGCTAGAGCAAAACAATTATAAATTTCACACTATAATTCAACAAAATATAGTTTCCGTGTGGTAAACTATCATATGTTGTTCTTTAAAAAAAAAATTATTGTATGTGGTAATCAATCGTTTAGTGTAGTTTTGTATGTCACTATTTATGAATAGTTTGTTCGTGAATAGACAAACACAACCTTCAAAAAAGGATAGCAATATAGCATTAGGAGTCCCCTCTTTAACTATGGATGTGAATTGAATTAGGATGCTTAAATACCTTAACTAGTTCTTATCATTAAACCCTGATCTGTGGTGATTTGTATTTGAAATGAAATGAAATCGAGTATAGTTGTTCATGATTAAAAAAACCGAGCCGCGTGGAATGATATAATCGTGACTAATTATTACAAGTATATGTGAATCGATATGGTCAATAGATTTTTTGAATCGTAGAATTAAATTAATCATGATTGGGTTTGGGTATACAATCATATAAATCAAACCAGAAAGATAAAGATAAACACTCTGTTTGTTTTTCTTCATTTTATTTCCGCTGCCCTTTTCCATATAACACTCCATGTTTTGAGACTGGCTGAGAAGAGCCTAAGACCATGTGATATTTAATATCACCGCAGATACAAATTCACTGTTCGCAAATCATTAAATCAAACTTTATTAAATACTAAGTTACTAATAACAGTTTTATAAGAACCGAGCATCATAGATTACTAGTATTGAAGTTCACACGATGACACGAAGCATATGATCATTACGATGACTCCACTCTCCGCATCTTAAAACATTACCTAATTATCTCACTATTCAAAAACGTAAGAGAGCGATCTCACATAATTAAGTGCTTTACACAATTACATAACTAGGCATTCGTTTCGCGTAATACAAATTAAAATTTTGTTACATGATAAAATAACACTTCAATCCATTCAACTATTAGTTAGGACTTTTGCTTTTAAAATGTAGACTGTAACTATATTTTTATAATGAATAACTGTGATTTAAAAAAGAAAATTCATAAATTCTTGCCTGTTAAAAAAGCCATAAAATATGAAGAAAAACAAAATTTTGGTTATGAATGATTTTAGAGACTTGGAGAGATTTCAGGAAGATAAAATGAGCTTGTAAAATTAGTAACGTTTAAAGCTGTAAGTCATTTTAAAGTTTTTGAAAACTTATCCCCAAACACCTCCTATATTGAACGGATATATGAAATCTGGTTATTTGGTGGCCACATATTATAATCCGAATAGTTAAACTCGATATTATATAGATCTGGTCATCCGTCCTACCTTAATTTATGTATGTTACTTTTAAAACAACATATAAAGCATATATTTTCATAGAATATTAGTTTTATACAAGAAGATGATAGAGATTTAATTACGCAGTAAGAGCGATTAAGTTTTACAGTTTGAAATGCAGTTTATTGAGGTAAGAAAGAATGAAAGATCGTTCCTAAATTTAATGTAGCGAAATTCCTAGGACCGGTTTATACGGAAGGAATAAAGAGAGAACAACTTCACGTTTTTTCTCGCACAGTAACGTTAAATTAACCGGTTCGTTGTTGTAATTAAGAAATAAATTGTTACAAGGACTAATTCTCATAAAACACTTATTTGTTTAGTTGAGGCCAAGCCGAGCCACATAAGCCGAGCTAATAAATCTATGAGTAAATTAAAATAAAAGCACATTATTATAAAATATTACTAATGTGGGATTTTATGAATATTCACATAGAGTTCTTAGTCCCCATTTCCAACGTTTGCTTTTCAAGTGTTGGTTATACTTCACAGTTAAAACTTAAAAGTGTTACTTCTTGGAAAAAAATGTATTAATTTGAATTTCAGTGTTCAGTTTAAATTTAGTTTCAGTGTTCAGTTTTAAATTTAATAACACGGGGTAAAATAAAACAATAAATTCTATTTAAGAATCTGTACGAAAATCAAATTACTTTTGTATGATTAAAATGTAGAATTATTATATTGATATGGAGTTTAAGAAACATTAAGGCGGTGATACCCTTAACACTCCCCAATCTAGTTTCTTTTTTAACACATACTGCTAATCTACTTTGAGTCTTTGATAATTACTTTTCATATCTTACCACTAAAGTTATATATGGGGGAAAGTAATTTTTTAAAAAAACATATATCCATATTAGCCCAAAATAAGAAGAGTACTTGCACTCACTCCATTTCTCCCAATAAATTAAAGCACATCTTAAAAAAGATAACGAAGTAGCAACTTTGCATCATCTCTCTCTATCTCTCTCCCTCTCATTCTGAAATAGTTGAAGTAGAGAAGTTAATGTTCACCAAACTTACTGTAAAGTCTGAAACTTTCTTCCTTCTCCTTCTTTGCTTCATTCAAGTAAGTCTCTGATTTGCCTTCTCTGTTTCTAAATCTTCTCTCTGCATATTTGTCTTCCATGGAAAATACCCAATGAGAAAAGAGAGTCCTTTCTCTCAAGCTATACCTTGTGTACGCAGATAATGTATCATTTGTGTGCGGTCACAGTTATGTTTGCTTCTGTGTTCTGTCTTTTGAATATATTCCTCAAGTAATTATTTTCTGGGTTTTTGATTGTGCAGATTAAACTTTCAAGAACCAGAGGAGTTGTCTCAGATCTAGTGAGATAGATTACAATTTTTTCACCAATTGAAGGATAAAATGAGTAAAGAGGAGTTTATGAAGATCCAGGTCTGCTCACCACTTTTTTGCTTCCATTCTTGATGTTAACAATTTTACAGAAATATGAGAATTTACTCTGTTTTTTGTTGTGGTGTTTTCTTTTGTAGACGTGTGTTCTCAAGGTAAACATTCACTGTGATGGTTGTAAGCAGAAAGTGAAGAAAATCTTGCAGAAAATTGAAGGTAAAAAAAAAACCAAAATTTTCCAAAATCTTACCTTGTTCGATTTTGACTTTCAGAAAGAAAAATTTTCATTTTAATTCTGATTTGACTAACCTCTAGATAAAGACTATGATCTCTTCATTGACCTTGGCTAATTTGTTTTTGGTCCTGAAACAGGTGTTTTCACGACTAAAATAGACGCAGAGCAAGGGAAAGTGACGGTATCTGGAAACGTAGACCCTTCAGTTCTTATCAAGAAGCTCTTGAAATCTGGTAAACATGCCGAAATATGGGGAGCTCCAAAAGGAAATAACACCAATCAGAACCAACCAAACTTGGCCAATCAGTTCAAAGGCATGCAGATTGACCACGGCGGCAAAGGCGGAGGCGGTAACGGCGGTGGAAACAATAACAAAGGTCAGAAAGGAGGCGGTGGTGGAGGAGGCGGAGGAGGTGGTGGCGGTGGTGGTAGCGGCGGCGGCGGTGGGCCACCGAAGATGGTGCTTCCACAGTTAACTCCACAACAGATGCAGCAGCTGAATCCCCAGCAGCTTCAGCAGCTTCAACAGCTTCAGCAGATGAAAGGGTTTCAAGACTTGAAGCTTCCTCCTCAGTTAAAAGGTCCAGGCCCTGGCTCTGTTCCTGTGAACAAGAACCCTCCTAATCAGAAGGCTGTGAAGTTCGATGTTCCTGATGATGACGATGAAGACGATTTCAGTGACGACGAATTCGATGATGATGAGTTTGATGATGACGAGTTTGACGATGATTTGGAGGATGATGAGTTTGACGACCACCCTCCTCCGCCTAACAAGATGAAGCCGATGATGGGTGGTGGTGGTGGTGGTAACATGATGATGCCTAACAACATGATGCCTAACATGATGATGCCAAACGCTCAACAGATGTTAAACGCTCAGAAAAACGGCGGTGGTCCTGGACCCGCCGGTGGTAAAATCGTGGGTAAAGGAGGTCCCGGTGGTGCTCCTTTTCCCGGTCAAATGCCTGGCGGCGGCGGAGGCAACGGTGGTAAGAAGGGAGGTCCCGGCGGAGGCGGTGGTGGTAATGTAGGGAATCCAAACCAAGGCGGAGGCAAGAACGCCGGCAAAGGCGGTGGTGGTGGTGGTGGACATCCGCTAGACGGGAAAAATGGAGGAGGAGGTGGTGGTGGTCCTAAAGGAGGTGGCGGAGGTCAGATGATCGGAGGTCCCAACGGAGGCAAAAAGGGTGGCGGCGGCGGAGGAGGAGGAGGACCCATGAGTGGTGGACTCCCACCGGGTTTCCGTCCAATGGGAGGCGGCAATGGTGGTGGACCTCCGACCATGAGTATGCCAATGGGTGGGCAAATGGGTAATTTACCACCAATGGGTGGTGGTGGTCCTGGTCCAATGAGTAATAATATGCAGGCGGTTCAAGGATTACCCGCAATGGGACCAGGCGGTGGCGGTGGCGGTGGCCCATCCGCCGGAGCACCGCCAGGATATTTTCAAGGCCCTGGAAACGGCGGAGGCGGACAAGATTCAATGCCGCCGGGAAATGCTTACTTGCAACAGCAGCAACAACAACAATACTTAGCTGCGGTTATGAACCAGCAACGAGCTATGGGGAACGAGCGGTTCCAGCCAATGATGTACGCTAGACCACCGCCAGCTGTCAATTACATGCCACCTCAACCGCCGCACCAACAACATCCATACCCGTATCCGTATCCATACCCGTATCCGCCACACGGTGGTGATCAGTATTCTGATTACTTTAGTGATGAGAACACATCAAGCTGCAATATCATGTGAGCAAAACCCAAGAAAGAAACGTAAACAACAACAAAACTTTCCCATAGTTTGTTTATCCTTCCGGTCTGTGATTATACATGGAAATGGGGTTTTTTTTTTTTTTTTCCTTGTTAATTATTGGGGGTTCTTAGAATCCTTCTTTTTTTTCCTCCAACGGATCGAATCCTAAGTTATATTAGGGTTTTTTTAATTAATTTGTGATAGTTCTTAAGTAATTTATAGAATCATAATATAAAATCAAACGAATATTTTATATTGCACTTCTTGTTTTTTTTTCTCCTCTGGGTTCTTACTTTCTTAATGAGATCCTAGTGTTCATATGTTGTTTATATGTTCCAGAAATAAAATATAATAAAGCCATAATAGAGGATGTTTTCTTTAATATAAAGTTCTCTGTGTGACTCATGATTTTTGTTTAATATACGCAATTGAGATGAACAAGTTTGGTAGATACTAGATAGTAGATACCAAACCCTTCAGAAAATAAACTACGTTCAGTGATATCGACACTTTTGATTCAATAAACTCTTTTTCTTATTCAATACACTCTTTTTATGTTTTGGAAGACATTAATATATTTTTTATTTCCTTTTTCAAACTGGGCAAAAATAATGGAGTAAAGAAATTGATATTGTGACCCACCCACCATTATTTTAGATCATTTGTCCAATTGGTTTTAGCTTTAAATTGTCACTTTTATTATTAGGTTTGAATAGATTTCTAAAAGGAAAAAAAGATTACAAAGACTAAAAAGTAAACAGATCAGCTGTATTTAAATAAAATACAAAATAAAGGAGGCAATAAGAAACGCTGAATGTGAGGATGGCAACATTTGCTTTTCAAGACTAGCTGTTAAGTAAATTTTGAAAGAAAAAAAAGTAAAATTTTGGCCCTCCTCACATTTGCAACCACTCTATAGTATAAATATTATCGATAGATATAGTTTGTTTATTTTATGAAAATGGTCAATCGTTTCATATAGTTTAACGATTCATAGTATAAAATGGTCTATTTAATTTTTGGTCACGGCACAGCGTTTGGAAACGTTTAGGGTTGACTTGTCTTCTTAAGCAAGCTCGATGTGTGATTAGGCCGGTTTAATCTCTAAAACAAGTCAAAGCATAAAATTTGTGAATGAAAAAAACATAAGGAAAACAAATGATGATCATCGTCATCATAATGATTATGATGATGTATGAATGAATGATCAAGATGATGAGATAGAGTATGAATGGGACCCACAAAAGAGTGAAATTAAATGGATGCTTGCGGCAGCTATTAGTGTTTCGCGTCACAGACTCGGCACACGCTTCTTCTCCTTCTTCTTCTCCTTCTTATGCTTTTTTTTTTGTTTTTACTTTTTCACTTTAAATGTTTTTTTGTTGTTGTTGTAATTAAATGTTTTCGTTACATAGAGCACACAAACTTATAAAAGAAGCCATTTGGATTCGCCCCAGATTTTGCTTCTTTCATACGTATTCTGCTTTTTATTTCGTTTAAAAGATATTTCATTTAGAAATTCTTGTATTATGGGGCAGTTTGGAAAACAAATTTACTAGTTACAATGTTCTGTTTTTTAATTACATAGAAAGAATCAGAATTAATTCTTAATTTGGATCCCAAAAGAAAAAAAACCATTAAAATGTTATGGCTGAGAAGAGGCTGCTCGAGGTCGGACACTTGTTCATCCTTTGTTTGGTTACAGCTCTAACGCTATCCCCACTGTAAAACTGCGTTTCCACTTTACCAACAAAAGAACCCGTTACGGGTATTGACAAATCAACCCATCTTTTTCTCTTGTTTTCTCTTTGGGCCCCATTGTTTCTTTATTTTGTCCCTTCATATTCATTTTATTTAAGTCAAGGCCATTGGCCAAAAGCGAAAAAGCGAATTTCCAATGTTTCGTATATTACAATAAAATGTTTTTTTTTTCTTATAGGATCTATAAGTACGATAGAAATTTTCTTTTTATAAAAGTAAAAAAAAACATACAGTTTTTAGACAAGCTATTGTTAGAATTTGGCATTTTTAATCGACATTCAAAAACCTACTTTAACAACAACAACAAAAAAATTACTAAGCCAGCAGTAACCTTTTAAATTATTTGAATTTTTTTTTTTAATGTTTTCACAAGAACTTTTGAAAAAATATGGCTCTAGAAAATTTAAGATTTTTAATGAAGTTGTCAAAAACCTAAACCAGAGAAAATGGTTCAGCTGATATAGTCAGATAACCTTCGTGTTTAGAACAAACCAATGAGAAAGTGCCAAGTCATCATCATTGAATTATTGAGCGTTTTAACGTCTGCATCACAGCCGTCCGATAAGAGACCACTCAGATGGCGCCAGAAGGAAGCTCAGCTGTCGAGGTGACGCGTAGGACCCACGTCTCTGCTCCTTCTTTTATTTATTTATTTATTTATCTTTCTCTTCCTGCTTGCTCGCCGGTTACGAAACCGCGCGAACGCCGAGTGATGACGTGATGTTTTGGTTAACGCCGTTAAATTGCCATAATTGTCATGTCACATATAAAGACTGAATAAGGACACATTTAGATAATTTTAAAACTTGTAAAAAATATATATACCAAAGGAAGGGGCCACGTAATTATAAAGTTGGTATTTCATAATTACAATCAGAGAAAAAAAAATAGTATGTAAAGAAGAAAAAGGAGCTTTATGAATTAACGCAAATGTTCCCTATTCGTACCATGAAAACCTGCAGACCAATCGAATTGCGGGCACTAGCTATATCACCTACCTTTTCTTTAATTTATTTTAACGTAAATTTTTTTTATACAATTATTATATTAGAATCCTAAACAAGTAAACGTACATTCAATAACGGTTATATAGTATTTCTTGTTTTTTTTTTCAAGAATGAAGGAATACGAGACCGTCATGTGGACAAATAGTAGGGCTAAAAGTCTCATGCGCAAAAAACTTCCTGATCATGTCAATCTTCCTCCTCGAATATTAACCAAAAGAATTTTCATTTACAACCGATGTCATAATTCACCAACTATTTGAAGATTCATCGATTTAGGTCAAGCAATTCGGAATAATTCAAAGAAAAAAAAAAACTCTCGTCCAACCATCTCTATTATGTATGATATATGTTTTTGAGATGATAAAAATAAGTACGTGCATTAAGTTTTGGTGTTGCAGGCATTAAAAAATACAGAGATGGATGTGACAGAAACAGAAAGAGCGTGTGCGATATTGAGAGCCCCGAAAAGAGATTATTGGAGAAGGAAGTGAGCACATGGAGAGGCTTGTTTGTGTTTCCGATGTTGAAAGAGGGAATATTACAAACCAACAAAAGTCAATTCTGTCTTATTTGGCACTCTCAAGGATCTCGATCGTTTTGACAACAAATCAACCGGAGCACTCAGAATTTTTTTTTTTTTTTTTTAGAACCATAAACTTTTTTTTGCTTCAAACATACCAGGAGGTTCAGGACATTCTTAAGGGATTTTACAAAATAATTAATTTATATCAACAATATATATATATACACATATATATACACATATATATATATCGATCTAACATGAAAGTGTGATATATATATACACATATATATATATATCGATCTAACATGAAAGTGTGATATATACATATTGTAAAGACGATAGATACTTGTTTGTCGAAGCCTAGTCTATTATATATACATAATTACATATGGTTAGCAAAAACGAAGAAAATCGATCTGAAACAAAACTCGTATATGTTGAATTCGGGTTCGGTTTAGAAACATTTTTTGCTTTATCTTAATTGTTATAAATTGCAATAAAGTTGAAACATTCCTTTTATCTCATATCTAACTTCTTCTCATTGACACTTACTTGTATTCGTCAATATTCTCTACCCATCCCCAAAATGGTCAATGCATACTTTTGTTTTCACATACGCATTATCAAAAATATTTTCATATACAAGCTAACAAATTTTTAAATCAAATTTTCACTGAAATAAGTACTAAATTTAGTGCACTCTTCACTTTCTGCTTTTTTTTTCTTTCTGTTTCTCATATTTGGATGGCTTTTACTTACTTACCCCCCCCCCCCATTATAAAAGTTATTAATCTGTTGACTTTTGGAAAGGGGAAAGAAAGAGAAAAATTAAATGGCTCACGTGAAGCTGATAGAGGAAGCAAAGCAAAGACCACTTTGACAAACAACTAAGCAAGTATGCTAAAAGTCTTTGACTATATATACTTAATACGACACGCTATCTTACAGTTTATAGTATTAATCTACTTAAATTATTTGGTTAATAGTATTATTACTTATTGACTGTTTCAGTTACCAATTTTAGTTAGTGTCTGTATTGTTTTTTCTTTATTCTCTGCTATTTCCTCAAATAACATATTGCTTTTTAAGCATAGTTTGACTATGTATACGGACACTGACACTAAAAGTCGAGTAGAATTTTCATCCCCGAGTTTTCGCTTAACTTGGACTCGGAATTCATATAGTGCCAAATAATCAATAGCGGGAAAAAATGACTTGTAACAGATCATACACCAATTAACGGCTAGTATTCAATTGTTCCAAACAGAAAAAAAAAATTTAAATAACATAAGGAGAGGTATATAAGCCATACTCCAAAATAAGCAGTCTCTTTTTAGCATAAAAATTCCATCCCGATAGGATAAATGACATAGTTTTAAGTTTAAAACGCCTGAAAGACCATGTCATAGTAGCCAAATTTATACTGTGTCAACGGATAATCGTTTTTGATGTTAACCCAAAAACAAAGAAAAATCAATGACTGCAACCGTTTACAATTGTCATTTTTATCCTTTTCAACTAGCTAGGTTGGTTTTTTTGAATATTTGAAAAAATAAATTATGAGAGTATATATATACAAATTGTTATAAATCGCACAAGACCAAAAGCGACTTAATACAGAAAAACTCAAAACAGAAGATATGTGAACTAATTAATAAGACAATTGTTGAGATTAAATTTCCGGCCTGCAGACTTCAGAGGATGTGTTAGATAAAATAGTTCATTGGTATAATTAGAACCAAAGCCCATAAACCACCGCTTAGTTGATTAGAAAGTTCAAGTAATTAGCAACGAAGCGGAGTCAGTAAAAAAGGCAAATCACGAGGATTAAACTGACAATCAAGCGAATTGGTTGCGACATAAATGGGATTCATGACCGGGAAATGGGAGTGGAGAGTATAAAGAGAAAGGGGGAAAACAAAAGAACAGGGACACACAATGACACAAATACAAGCCAACTCTATCACCAAACACTTCTCT